TTGAGAATGGAGGGTATAAATCTACAATGCTGAGTGATGCCAGTCATGTCATATGTCATGGTGCTATGCAAATAAAACACTCCAGCAAAAAAGGGTGTCAAATAATGTGATTGAGAACAATTGGCTGTCTGTTAAATTTTGATAGAGTAGTTGATGTATTTATCCTGAATATTTTCTGTAGTCTATAAATAGATCATCTCTACAGCTTCTATTTTTATTTCTTTAGTTTAAACAGGAAGCATTGTAGGCTCAGCCATGAACTTGTTCAGTTAAAAGAAGGTTGAAAACATGCACAGAAGTAAAATAGTGAATGAATTAAGTTGTAGGATATCACTATTCCAGTGATGAATGCAAGGAAAACAGTTTTCACAGGGTACAGCAATATTTACCCTTCCTGGGGTCTCCCTTCTGGAACTGCCAAGGCTTCTCCTTTCTCAGTTTATTACATATTTATATTTGATGAATATGTGAGGAAGAGCAGACTATGTGCTTTTCTCAAGGCTGTCGGACTTAGTGCTCCCTTCTCAGTTTATAAACATCCAAATGCCCATTGAACTTTTGACTGATAATACCTCTGATGTAATGTACTTGGAAGAAGGCACCTCTCTGATACACCTAGAATTCCAGTAGCCTTAGCTCCCTGATTGACCAGTGTTATCTTGTCTCTCTCTTTTTTACTTTATCCAATATGTCAAAGAATGTTTGAAATGTTTTCATCATTTCATTTTGGAAAGTATCAAAGAAGAGACAATAGTGTCACTGATTCCCAGGTATCCGTCACTCAACTCTATGATTATCAATTCATGGACACTTGTGTTTGTCTAGGTCGCTGTCTACTGTCTCCCCTTTGCCTTTTATATTGAAGTAAATCCCAGAGATTATTTTATTTCATCCATAAATATTTTCATGAGAATATATATTTATGACATATTTTATTTTGCTTTAAATTCTATTCCTATTCTCATGTTCACTCAGTAGATCAGAGGGCTTCTGATTATCAGTTCTGAAGATGTGGGGCTATGTTTTAAGATACAGCTGTTAACTGTAAGTTTGTGCTTAAGGAGATTTGTGTTTTCAGGAAATGCAGGTTAGCTTCAGGTTGAAGGCTAAATAAAGTTAAGGCATGAAAGAAAGATAGTGTTGAATGTGACGTGGGGAGAAGTTTTTCCCTTTAAACTGTTGAGGGAAGTTAGGTGCTATTTTTCCTTGAGGTGTTAGAGCAGTAATTTCAGAAGTGGGTCTGCGCCTTATCTTCCGTGTTGAACATGTGAGCTAAAGAGGTGCAGGCTCCTTACCTTAGCTGAACTGCTGAGGCTCTTGATCGGCTTAGAATTACTCCAAGAACAATGGTCTTCTTGGACATTCATACCTATTTGTGATAAGAAATCAGTAACTTGGAAAAAGGGAGGTTTGTTTCTCCTCCCATTGGTTTGTTTAATAGCACTACCGTGCATAGGAGGAAAAACCCACAGAGTCGCTGCAAAAAAAAGTCTGTCCCCTCTGTGAAAGTACAGAAGATACTGTAACAGACAGCACTAGGGAGAGTGCAGCCTGAACTTCTGCTTCTGCTGCATTCCCTGAACTTTGATTTCTGCTCTTTCTGTCTGTTTTTCCTCTCCACACACCCTGCCATTTACTAAATTCCCCTAGTTCAGACCCTGGTTAGCATCATTTAACAATGCCTGTCTTCCCCACTCTGCCATGGTCATCATGTTTGAAAATTTCCTCGCACCCATTTATATCTTTGTCTGTCTGGAAAACTGAGTTCACACAGGTAACTTCAATTCCAGTCAACTGGTGTCCAGTCTAGTTTTCTCCTTTTCCATATTTATATTCCATCTCTGACAGTGAGAAGCCTGGTTCCATTATCTGTGATCATTCGCTTTTGTGTAGCCACAGCAGCCTCTTATGCTGCCTGCCCTCTTATGCATGCCCTCCTCACCCACTGGGGCTCCAGCACGCTGCCCTGGGCTTCCCTCTAGTGCACCCTGTTCTCCCTTTTTTTCTCAAGCTCCAACCTACTGTGCGTTACTGCTCCCAACATTCTCCCATGGACACCACTTTGCCAGTATCTTGTGCCAGGCTCCAAGAGCCTCCCCCAGGTGAAAGCCCTCTTGCTCACCTCTCATTCCAATTCCATGTGTGGGCCATCCTTCCTGACCTACTTGGGCTCTGACAGCCTGCAAAGTACCTTCTCCCATTCTACCCCACACCTTTGAAATGTTTGTGGAAGAACAGGAAACAGCTAGAGCCTTATAAATAGAAAATATTTAGAAAAAAACATTTTCTCCTATTAAATTGGAAATATCTAGAGTTTAAATTACATATGGCCCTGAAATTTCATTCACTAGTTCATTGTGCATAAAATTTTTAAACACCTACTGAATGCCCGGCACTGAGCTTGGCCATTGGGATAGGGCAGTGAACCAGACAAAATCCTGTGAAGCTGCATTCTGTGACTCAGGTTGTTTAGCTCAGACAAGTGTGTAACAAATAAGTAACCTGTCCGGTCCTCTTTCCTTACATATCAAATGGCAATAGCAGTAATTTTGCTCATGGGGTTCTTGTGAAAATTGAATAATGCATGAAAAATGCTTAGCCTAGTGTTAGTCATCATCATCTGCAAACAAATCATCATCCGCAAACAATATACAAGCAGCGCAGCTGAAACGTTCTTTGTCTCTTTAAAAATCGTTTTAAGATTCCACTTAATATTTTGAGGGGAAGCCAATATATTCCTGGAAAATGAAATCTTATGTATCAATTACTTTTCCTTTCCTTTAGCATTCTTTTAAGTAACGTGACATTTGTTTGAATTGAGTGACAGTCTTTACCGGACCTGAGAGAGATTATTCATGTATTTGGAGCACAATTAATGAAGAGATGATTATTCATTATTAGAACATTTTGTTGCATAGTAATTTTAGCTAGTGACTATATTACTATATTAGTGATGGTAATTTAAATGCAGGTAGCATGTAACCTATAAAGCTCTAGTGTAATATTTGTCCTAAAAGCCATGCCTTTCGTCATCAGAAATATAACAAGTCTCATGAATGTTTGCTTTTGTGTAATGTGGTACTCTTAACAACGCAATATTTAGGTGAAGGCAATCCTGTCTTACTTTAAAAAATATAATTAAATATATGTTGTGATGTTTTATATTTGTGTTACCTGTCATTGAATGTTAGGAGTAACTGTTTTATAAACATACGGTATAATAATAAGAGGAGCTCTAGGAATACAGAATTAAATACAAATAATCCCCAGAATTTTAGTGACTTGGTGAAATCTTCATTTCCTCAATTCATACTGGGTGGTTTGATAAAGAGAAAGGCCCACACCTAATGCTGAGCATGCTAGAGAATAATGACAGGATCAACTAAATGGAGTGATTGGGTCGTTTGGTCTCAGCCTATGCTTCAACTTGCAGAACACAGCTCATTCGAAGGCAGAAGTGGGGTAACTAAGAAGAAAGCTTATTGAGAGTAGAGGGAGTGAAAAGCAATGAAACATCAGGCAAAGTGAGATGGTCTGTAGCACCCTGCAGAAGAGTTGCTAGTCAAACGGAAAGATCTTTAATGTAGAGGACTGTGGAGAATTAGGCAAAGCAGTAGGCTGCAAAGAGAACCCTTTTTTGGCAATAAAACTGAGACAAAATGGAAAGGCCATCAGGATCTGCTTACATGTTTACATGTATTGCCAAAATCCTGTATTGCAGATACAGGAGTGAGAAGGTAAGTAAGGAGCCAGGCAAGAGGTGAGATGGGGAGCAGAGGAATGTAGAGAGTAGAAAAAGGAGGGCAACAGAGGGGGACAGAAAAAGGAAGGGCCAGGACCCAGCCAGAAAAGGGATCAGACCTTTCCAGACTTGTAGACCTTAGAATGTAATTTTTGTAATTGTCCTTTGAGATACTAGCTGTGGTTTATTTCTTTGTCAAATTTTCAGTAAGTGTAAATGCTCACAAATAGAAAGGCTTTTCCTTTAAAGCTTCAGGATTTGTTTTTGTTTTTCTCAGTAGAACAATCACAGTAGCCTGCTGCAGGGAAATTATCCCATGGGTTATATTTATTAGCAAGACAACATTAGCTTAAAGGAGAATAAATAAATCAGATGGAGGAGGCCAGACTGAAGACTCCTCTGTTCCTGTGCTAAACTGTGTTGTGTAGTCAAGTATTGCCATAGGCTTTCATTATTTGTCAGTCTTCCATGTGTCAAATGCTATTCTAAGTGTCAGGGAGAGAGGATGAATAGGATAGAGTTCTTGCCTTTGAGGAGTAAGCTGGCTGTTGGGAAAGACAAATGATGCAGATATATAAGATGTTTTGGCAAAACGAAGAAGGAATTCTGTGAAAGAACTGTGCCTGGAGAAATAAAGAAAAGTTTCCAGAAACTGACTGTGTGCCTGTGTTTTTACAAGGCAAATAAGATTTTTGCCTAGAGGAAAAGGTCAGGTAGAGCCTTACAGGTAGAAGGCTAGATTGCCATGTAAAGGTACAGAAAGGTAAAAGAGTTGGCTTGGGCAATAGTGGGAATTTAATCTGATTAGAGCATAGGATGAAAGGGGTGGAAGGGAGAGTAATGAAAAATGAAGCAGGAAGAGGATACTGAAGCCAGATTCTTCAAGATTTCTTGTCAGGGAGGTAGGTATTGTCCTTTGGGTTTATCCTCACACAGTGATGCCAGTATTAAGAGTAGGCAAACAGATCAGTAGGACAGAGAAGAAAAAGTGAAACAACCCCCCCAACACGTGAATATTATTAAAGATAACAAAAATCTATGGGGAAGGGTAAATTAGTTAATAGATGGTGCTGAAATAATTTGTTGGCTCTTTGGGAAGAGCAGCTCAGTTAATTTGAGAAAATGTTTTTATGCCATATATTTATGTTTAAAATATGCAGTATAGATTTAGACATTTTTGGTTGAAACACTGGCTTTATAGCTAATTAGAATCTGATGTTTAAGGTCATTTTTCTTACCCTAAAACTTTTTTTTGTAGCATCTGCAGAAAAAGAGGCAATCAAGGGTACATACTCCAAAGTACTGGATGCATATGGACTCTTAGGTGTTTTACGATTAAATCTTGGTAAGTTTTTGCCCCTATGTCAGCAGCAACTCACATTAATACACATGTTTTTCAACCTTCTTTACAAAGAATTCTCACATTCATTGTCTTATCTGAACCTCCTAGTAATCATGAAGGAAAGGTAGGGAAGTTAATGCATAGTTTTTCATTTGATAAATTTCACATAGCCTTAAAAAAAGTAGGGGAACAATTTCAGAATTGTGAGATTATTCTGCTAATGTTTAAATCCTACATTCTACTAAATGTATTTAAAGAAGGGCTTTTTCCCCAACCTTTGCCATAATTTAGCTTTAAATTTAAACATGTCTGTGGTAAATAACCATACTGTCAGACTTAAAAGATGGAGACCCAAGAAAAAAGTGGGAAGAAACTTTGATCTTTGAAAAACATTCAGGTCTTTTATCAAACCAAATCTTTGTTGTTTTTTTTGCAGGTGATACTATGTTACATTATCTGGTCTTAGTCACTGGATGTATGTCTGTTGGAAAAATTCAAGAATCCGAGGTTTTCCGAGTTACTTCCACTGAATTTATATCACTACGAGTTGATTCTTCAGATGAGGATCGGATTTCTGAAGTGCGGAAAGTTCTGAATTCAGGAAACTTTTATTTTGCATGGTCTGCATCTGGAATCAGTTTAGATCTGAGTCTTAATGCCCATCGGAGCATGCAGGAACACACAACTGACAATAGATTTTTCTGGTGAGTCTGTGTTGCATTTTCCCCTTCGTGGTCATGTGTTGTGGAGTAGCTTGGCCATTGGGGCACAACATGTCCCGCATTTATCCCAGAGACAGCAGGGATGCCTGGGGACAGAGCACACTGCTCTGTCCTGCTGCAGAATCCTCACAGAGCTTGAGAGGTCCACTCTCAGTTTGTGTAACTTGGTGTATGACCTGAAGCCATTTCATTCTTCTTGAGCTTGACAGACCTTTCATTTCAGAAATATACTGGCAATATCTTAAAACTAGGAATGAATTCGAATGAATTCATTACTCACACTTTCTGTCCTTAGTTTTGAGATGTTGTCCCTGGCAATATTGCCTCTGTGCCAACATATTTTTAATTTGAAGGTTGTAAGTAGGTGAGCTTCATTCAAGAGCAAGACTGTGAAGAAGTAGTAAACTGGGGTAAAGTTTAGTACCTAATAAAATCAGACTTAAGTAGTTAATGTGATATATTTCCTGATTATGCATCGTGTGCCGTACTGTAAGTAGTCACAAACGATAAGCAGAGCACACGTGACTATGATTAGTATTGCTTTATTGTAGCAGACCAGATTTTAAGTATAATGCTTCTCTTGTTCTCAGCCAGTGTTGATGTTGACTTTTTTCCTTAACACAGTGTACAAATTAAATGTCATTGTGTTTACATATGTTTTATGACCAAAGTTCAGAATTCTTTTCTCTCTCTCTGGTAGTTCAGCTTCAAGGTGTATTGAACCTCCTGCATATTATCTGTCCTTCACATTTTCTACCGGTGTGGTCCTTGAATAGTACATACAAGTCTCGCCATTTTTGCCTGCATGTCAGAGGGCTCCAAGTCAACAAAGTTAGAATAGGAAACTAACTTTAGAGCAATAGCTTGGTCACCTTGTGGCTCACGTGGAGGTGTCTTGGCCCAGAGTGATGGCATGGGGGGAAAGAGAGAAAAGAATGAAAAAAGGCTTAGAGCACTATACATATCTTCCTCAGCTTACAATGGAATTCTATCTTGAAAACCCACTGTAAGTTGAAAATACCATTAATCGAAACATTGGAATTCGGGGACCATCTGTATCCAAAAAAATGCTGGAAGGAACCTAGCCCACTGCAGAGTATTGGTTGTCTACTCTGATGACATGGCTGCCACTGCATCATGGGGCAGAGTTATGCCACATGTGGCTAGCCTGGGCAAGGATCAGAATTCAAAGCATAGTTCCTTCTAAAGTGCTTATCACTTTTGCACCATCATGAAGTTGAAAAATCATAAGTGGAGCCATCACTCGTTGGGGGCTGTTTGTCATCGGAGACTTGGGACCCTAGCAAAGCAAGAGAGGAAGAGGGTGGGTGGTGGGTTGATAGGGCAGGTGAGTGGACGGAGTCCTGTCCTCTCATGGCAGCTCTACACCTTTTCTATTGAGAGAAACACTGACATTCCTGAAAAAAGGTGCAAGTGCTGCATAGTGACTTAGGTCAGCAATCTTTATTATTTTCTCCCTCCTCATTCTTTTACAAAATTGTTTAAATTGAGAGATAAGTTTTCCTGCCTTGGAAATCCAAGCAGGTGCAGATGCACTGGCTAAAGGATCAACAGTAAAGCACATTTGCTAAGCCTAATCAGTAGGAATAATTCATTTATCTTTTTATTCAGTTACCAGTAGATGTAGGGGCAGATTTAGATAACAGATTGCTGTGAGAGAGAGGAGCATTTGTCCTTTGGGAGACAGGTTGAACAAAAGGGAGGCTAAAACACTAGAGTTGAATTTTGAAAACACTAAAGTTGAAGTTTGCTCATACACCATTTTTACCAAAAGTTACCAATTTTTACTGAAGATTGGCACTTTGAGCTTCACTTTGCATATGAAAGTGAAAGCTTTTAGAATTCCCTATGAATACCCTTCCCACTTGGTAAAAACATTTTCCAGGATACAGCCAAGTAAGTTTTGTAATCAGGGAGTAGCAAATACCTGTTACAAAATCCAGATAGTTTCATTCTACCCGGAGATTTGAAGCCACTTCCAATTGGGAGATATTATAAATTTAAATAGAATTAAAACAGCAACACATTGACAGCAAAGAAAAATGGAAACCAGCAGCAGAGGGAGGACTCTGCCTGATGAAATGCATAGCCTCCTTCTTCCCCTCTCCCCTTTAAAAACTTCAATTCTACAGTCAGATTTCTGGGTTTTGGTTTGGTTTTATCCAACCCTTTTTGTTTCTCTGTATTTTACATTTAAGTGACACCATCTGTTATTGTCTTCTTTCTTCTGACTTATTTCCCTTAGCATAACCTCCTCCATTTCCATCCATGTTGTCACAAATGGTGAGAGTTCATCTTCCTTTATAGCTGAATAATATTCAGTGTGTATACAGACCACATATCTTCCTAATCCGCTCATCTGTCTTGGGGCACTTAGGATGTTTCTATACCTTGTCTATTGTAAACAGTGCTGTGACGAACATAGAAGTGCATATTTCCCTTTGAAATTAGTGTTTGTACATTCTTTGGGCGGATACCTAGGAGTGGAATTGCTGGATCATATGGTAGATGTATTTTCAATATTTTGAGAAATCTCTACACTGTTTCCAAAGGGGCTGAAACAGCCTATATTTCCAAGGGTTTCTTTTTCTTCACATCTAGCCAATACTTTTTGTTGCTGTTCTTTTAGATATGGATTCTTCTCATAGGTGGTATTGCATTGTAGTTTTGATTTGCATTTCCCTGATGATTAGTGATGATGAACATTTTTTTCATGTGCCTTTTAGCCATCTATATGTATTCTTTGGAGAAGTGCCTATCTAGCTCTTCTGCACATTTTTTTGATTTGGTTATTTGTTTTCTTTTTGTTGAGTTGTATGTGTTCTTTGTAGATCTTCGATTATCAGCCCCTTGTCAAATGTGTGGCATGCAAATATTTTTTTCCATTCAGTAGGGTGTCTTTTTGTTTTAGTGGGAGTTTCTTTCATTGCACAGAAGCTTTTTAATTTGATATAGTTCCAGTTATATATATTCTCTTTGATTTCTCTTGCTGTTTGGAGACAAATTTGTAAAGACATCACTAAAGCCTATGTCATGGAGTGTCTGCCTATGTTTTCTTCTATGTATTTTATAGTTTTAGGTCTTACATCCAAGTTTTTTATCCATTTTGAGTTAATTTTTGTGTACAGTATGAGATAGTGATCTAACTTCATTCTTTCCCACGTAGCTACTCAATTTTTCCAACGGCATTTATAGAAAAGATTTTCCTTTCTCCAGTGTATATTCTTGACTCCTTTGTTGTAGATTAGCTGTCCATATAAATGTGGGTTTATTTCTGGACTCTAATTTGTATTCTGTTCCTCTGTGTGTCCACTTTTGTTCTAATACCATACTGTTCTGATCATTATTATTATAATTTTCTAAATTTATGCATGTAAGAGTCCATATCGGCCAGAGGTGTGGAGGGTGAGAGGATTCACCAGGGACTGAGTGGGGAACAGAAGCAGAACAGGTAGATTTAATGAGACATACTGCTGAGGGGGGAAGAGTGGGTGAGACAGGAGAGGTCTGCTGCACCTTGTGGGTTAGGCTCCTGGCCAGGGATCAAACTCATGCCACAGTGGCTGGCAATAGCTTATTAGCACTGAGACTTTAACCCCTGCACCACCTGTGATTGTTTTCTTGATTTCTTAGACTTGTTGCCCATGAGCACCATTTTAAAATTTAGATTGTGTTATATAGAACTCATGAAGCTAATGCAGGTATTTCTTTTTTCTGTCAGGAATCAATCTCTGCACTTGCATCTTAAGCACTATGGTGTGAATTGTGATGACTGGTTGTTACGCCTCATGTGTGGAGGAGTGGAAATCAGAACAATCTATGCTGCTCATAAACAGGCAAAGGCTTGCCTCATTTCCAGACTAAGCTGTGAACGAGCTGGGACCCGGTTTAATGTCCGAGGAACAAATGATGATGGTCACGTTGCTAATTTTGTAGAAACAGAACAGGTATGTACTGTTTTATATTGTTCAATTCATGTATTAGATGAGAGGCACAGAAAAATAATAGAATAGTCAAGTTTGATTTAATTCAGAACTCATTTTAACATCTGTAATGTCATTTTATGCTTGTTTTTCTTTTCTTTTCTTTCTTTTTTTTTTTTGACAACTTTTAAGCTTTTCCTAAGAAAGGTTTCCTTTAAATCTGTTTTAGTGTGCCTCTTCCAATAGGTAACATGGATTTCTCTAATTCCTGTGGCATTGTCAGTGACATGTTTTGTATTGAATTTTAAAATCTTCTGTTACAAATCTAGACAACTTTAAAGGTTTTTTTTTCCCCAAATCCAACTCTTAAAGGTAGATATAGGTACAATCTCAAATGAAAAGTTATGATTCTTTTAGCTATTAAACTATATAAATATAAATTCAGGCTATTTCCCCAACTCAGATATTAAAGTTAGTTTTTGAAAAACATTAAAAGCTAAAAAAAAGAATTAAATGAATCATAAAGGTATATTTGTGAAATATTGAGATTTAAAGGGATTCCTTTTTTAAAGTTGTGATTCTTCGCATATATTTTTAGTTTAATATATATAAAGAGAAGATCCATCACTAAGTGAAAAGTCAAGTTTACTGAGTGGCCTATTCTGGATATTTTGTTAGAAAAATTAGAATTTGAGAGAATGGCTGTAAGCTATACTATGTCTTCTCCGCAGAAGGGACAGCTTTGTAGGAATATTTCACACACTGCTTTTCTCTGTAGGTTGTGTACTTAGATGATGCGGTTTCTTCCTTCATACAAATCCGGGGATCTGTTCCGCTGTTCTGGGAGCAACCAGGGTTGCAGGTATGCGTCTGAAATTCAGTTTTGTTTTGATTTTTGCTTTTGGAAAATTTCCTAAATTTTTGGGATAGTTTGTTAGTTCATTTGGAGAGTTCTATTATTCAATCTAATAATATTAGCTAGATTCACAAACAAGGATCTAAGCACAGACTTCCTGGAATTGTCTTAGATATTTTCTCCTTTACAGTTTTTTGAAATATACTCAGAAATTCAACTGCTGTATTTAATATTAAATTTTTGATGTTTTCATAATATGTTGATTTTCAAAATGTCTGCAAATTTTTGTGTCAGTATCTTAGTACATAATGATTTAGTCTCAATAGGCAGAAAAATGTAATAATTAAAGCAACTGAAACTAAACTTCTCAACTTGATCTTTATCGCTATTAACCGTATGATTGTGGGCAAGTAATTTAACCCCTCCTGTCTTGGCTTCCTTTTTTTTTAAAAAAAGATTTATTTTATATCAAAATCGACAAGCAACTATGAACCAGAGACACTCTATGGTGGGTGGGGGGATGGGGAAAAAAGGGCTTGGGGTCAAAATAAGGGGGTTGTGATTGTATGGGGAATATAAAAAATAACATTTAAATAAAAAAAAAATCTCCAAAAAAAAAAGGTTTATTTTAGTTATTTATGCATATAAGAACTGGAATGTTGGCCAGAGGTATGGGGTGGGGAGTGAGAGGATTCACCAGAGACAGAGTGGGGACAGAACAGGCAGATTGACTGAAATACACTGCTGAGGGGAGCAGTGGGCGAGTCAATAGGTTTGCTGCTGCTGCTCCCTAGTGGGTCATCTCCCTGGCTGTGGATTGAACTCATGCTGCAGTGGCTGGTGATAGCTTGACAGTGGTGAGACTTTTAACCCCTGTGCCACCAGGGATGCCCTGTCTCAGCTTCTTGAAAGATGAAATGAAAAGTACTTAAAATAATCCCTGGCATGCAGTCAGTGCTGTGTAAAGGATAGCATCATTGTTAATAATGTACTTCCACTGAAATTTTACTTCATTAATTTTTAGTGACCTGTTATTGTTATCTTGAATATGTTCTCTGGCTGGAGATCAAACAAAACAACTTTCATTTGTCTTGTTGATATAAATGTATAGGGCCTCCCATGGTGGTGCAGTGGTTGAGCGCTGGGCTGCGAAGCTGCCTACAGCCACTGCAGCGATGGTTCAATCCCCGACCACTGTGAGGGTCCCACATGGTGCGACAAACCTCTCCTGCCGCGCCCTCTGCTCCCCTCAGCATTGTATTTCGTCAGTCTGTCCTGTTCCTTGCTCTGGCTCTGGTGAATTCTCTCACCCTCCTGCGCTTCTGACTGTACCCAGTGCTTGTATAAATAAAGAAGTAAATCTTTAAAAAAAAAAAAGATATAAATGTATAATCTTTAAAATAATTTTTTTCATATTAAGATCATAATATGGTATTATCCATAAGAATGTGATTTTGCACTTTATTAAAAAAATCTTTAGTCTATAAAGTAAGAGTATTAGTAGTATATTTAGGCTTCCAGTATATACTGTCAATTTTGTGCCTCATTCTATAATATTGAAAAAATGGACAGGAGAAATTCTTGCCTCCTTTCAGTTCATAGTTGGATCTCTTACATTCTAGGATAGTTATTGTGGAAAAAAATTGGAGAACATTTGAATCTTTTTAATAATACAGTTTACTCAAGACATTCCAAGAATTAACAGAGATTAATGCTCGTACTGATTTGCTAAAATTCTTGTGTTCTTCTCAAGAATAGTTTGAATTGTATGCGTCTGATCTTTGGCCTGTAGGGTTAATTTAAGTAGATATATATCTCTCCGAGTTTCTGTTGAGAAAAAATTCCAGCCTAACCCCACTTCTTCTAAACTTTCATGATAAGAGAAGGGTTTGGAGTATCTGTTTTAAGAACATTACCAAAGTCCTGTTTTGAAGCAATGTGAATGCTTTTGTTTCAGACACAGGCTTGTGTAAGAGATTTTGATAATGTATTTATCTATTAACCTCCTCTGTTATGCTTCTTCCTGTGTTATTTTATTAAGAAGTTCAGAACTACAGTGTTTGATTATTTGATAAGGCTGGATTCTGAATAGTTACATTGAGGGATCCTCCGTGGGTGGGACTTCCTTCCTACTTCTTTGTTGTCTGATCATACAGATAGTCTGGCTGGCTAATGTCACTTGATTATGAGCTGAAAACCATGGATATTTAAGTCACTTGTTTCTTGATGGAGACAGTAACTTTTCAGACTTGAGACCAATCAAAAATTCTGCTAAATTGTCCCTGAGCTGCCCTATTGTCTTGGGTTGAGGATTGAGACAGCAGTTCTCAATTATTTAGCTTAGCAGTTTCAGAGTCAGCCTTTCTTTTACTAGAAATAGATTTACTTCATGACTGTCTTTTACAGCAAAGCATTTTCTCCACCATTCTGAAAGAGTTTGTAATAAAGGAATAAAATATTTAATTGATTTTAACTGAAAAATGGATATTGGTTTTCAAAAATAAAAATATTAAGTCTTAAAATTTAATTTTCCAATAAAAGACAAAAAAGGACATTTGGCTTGGAGTGGCTATAAATGGTTGCTAGGTGTCCTGTGTCTTCTTGGGTCTGGAATTCAGTTTTGGGGACTCTAGAAGTTAGTATTGTCTGGTGAGCTATTCCAAGTCAGAAGTCACTAACAGAGAATCCTTAGACGGTTGGCCCTTGACTGCCCTCTTCTCCATGATGATTATTTCTGAGGGTTGTCAAAGAAAAGATTTTAAAGGAATCATCTGAACTGATCCTAAAATGTAGGTTCATGGCCTTCACTTCCCATCTTCTGAATAGAATCTCTTATAATGAAGCCAGGAACCTGCATTTTTAACCAAGTTCTCTGCCACTCAAATTTGAGCACTTTTGTTGTACAGGAACTTACCCTAGTGATGTTGAGGTAGATCCAACAGCCAGTCCTGAGTCAGCAACAGGTGGTCTTGTGACAGCCTCGGCTTTCTCCTAGGCCTTGGTACTGTCCCTTTTTTCTGTCTCCACTCCTGTCCTCCTGCGTAAGGTTTTCATAATTTCTTCTTTCCTGAAAGATTCTCAGAGATTTCTAACAATATTTCTCCTAGTATTTTAGATGTTCTTTCCACTGTTGATATATTTTGCTTATCAGATTTATTAAACTCCCATTTCTTTATGATCTGGAATATTGTCAGAAAATGATGTTCCATAACACCTTAACTATATGTTTGGTTTTTTTTTAATAGAGGCATGTTTTATTTATTTATTTGTTTGTTTGCTTGTTTATACATGCACTGGGTATAGTCAGAAGCGCTGGAGGGTGAGAGAATTCACCAGAGCCAGAGCAAGGAGCAGAACAGGCAGAAGGACCGAGGTACACTGCTGAGGGGAGCAGCGGGCGGCAGGAGAGGTCTGCGCGCCATGTGGGACCCTCCTCCAGTGGCCGGGGAGCAGCCCGGGATCGAACCGGAGCGGCAGAGGCCGCGGGCAGCTTCGCAACCCAGCGCTCAACCGCTGCGCCACCGGGGAGGCCCTATATGTTTCTTAAAGAATATCTTTTGGGGCCTCCCCGGTGGCGCAGCGGTAGAGCACTGGGCCCCGGCTGCTTCCCGGCCACCGGAGGAGGATCCCACATGGCGCGCAGACCTCTCCTGCCGCCCGCTGCTCCCCTCAGCAGTGTACCTCGGTCCTTCTGCCTGCTCTGCTCCCCGCTCCTGCTCTGGTGAATTTTCTCACCCTCCCGCACTTCTGACTGTACCCAGTGCTTGCATAAATAAATAAAAATAAATCTTAAAAAAAAAAAAAAGCAAACATTGTACAAAAAAAAAAAAATATCTTTTGATGAAGTCTTCTTTTTTTTAATTGGGTAAATTTGTGGTTATTGAAAGCCTTACAACTTTCTGGAGTGTACTTTCATCACAACTGTCATAGCAATTCTTTTATTTGGACTTTTTTTCTTTAACATTGAATAATAAGGGGCCTCCCCGGTGGCGCAGCGGTTGAGCTCTGGGTTGCGAAGCTGCCTGCGGCCTCTGCGGCGCCGGTACGATCCCCGGCTGCTCCCCGGCCCCCTGAGGAGGATCCCACATGGTGCGCAGACCTCTCCTGCCACCTGCTGCTCCCCTCAGCAGTATACTTCAGTCCTTCTGCCTGCTCTGCTCCCCACTCTGGCTCTGGTGAATTCTCTCACCCTCCCGCGCTTCTGACTGTACCCAGTGCATGTATAAACAAAACAAATAAACAAATATAATAAATAAATAAATAAAAACATGCCTCTATAAAAAAAAAACATTGAATAATAAAACCCCGTCTAACCACTGCTTTGTTGTGAAAGTTATGATATGTAGCTAGTTGCATATATATTACATCTGTCTAATACATATATAATAGTCTTATAAAGACTATTAAGCCCTAAAAAATAAAATTGACTATAGATGTGACATTAGCCAAATCAATTTCTTATTAAAAGGAAAAAGCATTAAAGGGAGAATCTATTGATTACCATGAGAGTAAATAGATTGTCTCACCAGAACAGAATAGAGAATGATTAATGAATGATAAAACTGTTCATTCAATCTTGGAATTGGATGAGCACATTGGCACTTATTTTCTGGTTTTATTTGTAGAACTGCATAATGATTTGGCATCTTTCCTCCCACACCTCCTATAAAGTCGTTTGTTCACAGATTAGCAAGAATGATTCTGAGGAACTTTGATCCCAAAGGCTCAGAGAGAAATGTTTGAAAGTAAAGCTTGGGAAGTAATCTGGTCTCAGCTTTATATTGGCTTCTGTTTCAGCTTTCTCCATTCTGCCCCATCTCTCTGCCCCTGCCCAATATGAGGAAAGAAAAACTATAATGAAATACAATAGGTAGATATTTTCCTTCTTTTTTTAAAAAGAAGTTATGGTTACTAGTACATTTTCTTTTAAAGATTTATTTATTTATGCATGCAAGAACTGGGATGTAAGCCAGAGGTACAGGGGGTGAGAGCATTCACCAGAGACAGAGTGGGGAGCAGAACAAGCAAATCTGCTGAAATACACTGCTGAGGGGAACAGTGGTGAGAGACAGGAGCAGTCTAATGCGCCATGTGGGTTGCTCCCTGGCCAGCCAGGATCGAGTGGATGCTCCAGTAGCTTGCAGTAGCTTGATATTGCTGTCTTTAACCCCTGTGCCACCAGGGAGGCCTTATTTTCCTTCTTGTTTAATTCTCTTAACCCAAATTTTCTGATTCTGCAAAATGTGCTATTACTGTACTTGTACGACTGACATATTGACTTGGGACATGTTTTTCCAGGAACAAGAATTTTGATTTATTGGGTCTCTGGGCAAAGACATTGACTATGCAGCAAAACAGAGAAAAACAGTACATAGGCATTGCACTTGTAGATAGCTGGAGGAAATAGGAATTTAGGTCTCTGGAAATTGAGTCTAATTTGGAATTAGTTATATTGACCTATGAAAACAGGTTATTTCACTGTCTGCATTTCAGTTTGTTTATTGCCCAAATGGAAATAATATCTGTTAACTTACATAGGGCTTACAGTTTGAGCTTAAAACAGGTAATTATATAAAGAACTCTTAAAAATCTTTCATAAATAAAAATCCCTGTTAGTTTGCCAAGTGTGAGGTCATGGTTTCACAAATAAAAGAGAATGTCTTTAGTCTATGTACTGGCTTTTGTTGTGATTAGACATATATTTCTTGTTCTAGGTGGGATCTCATCGTGTCCGTATGTCAAGGGGATTTGAAGCCAATGCACCTGCTTTTGATAGGTGAGACTGATTGCTTTCACACAGTGCTATAAGTTTTGATATTGTCAAACAGTGAGATTAGTTGTAATTATATTTACTGAATCATTTCAGCCTTTTCAGTTCTGCATAAAATTTCTCCTGACTTCTAATTTGACTAGAAACAGTGGCACTTAGCATTATGTACCACTCCTAGGGATGGTAGCACTAGGTGTGTGGTGCTTGATCTCTTGGCCTAAGGCCACATCCTTGGGTGCACGGTTCAATATGGTAGCCACCAACCCCATGTAACTAGTGAGCACTTGAAATGGGACTAGTCCATGTACTGTACTCACTGAATTTCAAAGACAAAGCAAAAAAAAAAAAAAAGCTAAATATCTTTTTAATATTTGTTTTGCATCGACTACATGTTGAAATGGTATTTTAGCTGTATTGGATTAAATAAAATACATGTAAATTAATGTTATCTGTTTGATTTTACTTTTTTAAATGTGACATCTAGAAAATTTTTAATCATATCTGTGACCCGTGTCATATTTCCTTCAATGGCCTTGATCTAGAGCCTCTGGAAGAGTCAGAAACTGGAGAGAAAAACAGACTCATAATGAGATCCAGTTTTTTGTAAGGCTAGAACCATTAAGGAGGTCACCCTAAATCTCACGGTTTGCCTGATGCATGAGGTGCAGCCCTGCACCCTTGCCCTAGCCACCTTCCCCCCAGGGCAGATGGCTCTGTGTGCTTTGTGCCTGTCTAGCACCAGCCTCAAAGAGTGGTAAGAGAGCCCAACTCTGGCAGCTCCAGCATAGGTGGGAGTCTCAGCGTTGATGAGTCAGAGAGGAAATTGCATTAGCTGAGTTTTCATAAATTCACTGCTTCAAGATCATGTGGAGTCAGTTTGTATCCAGCTTTGCTAATCTATGAATTTAAAATACTGCCACTGTTGAATAATGGATTCTTCTTATGGAAAAAAAATTTTGGCTTATCATTTGACATTTGCTTATATTCTTTCTTTAACAGGCATTTTAGAACTCTTAAGAATTTATATGGCAAACAAATAGTAGTAAATTTGCTTGGATCTAAGGAAGGTGAACATATGCTAAGTAAAGCTTTCCAGGTAAGAATGATCTTCTCTTCTGGACCCACAGACATCTAGAATAGTATTAATACGTAAAAAAACACATTACTGTAATCAAATTCTTTAGGAAAGTAAATTTCTTCTTGGAAAAAGATTGGATACTTGTTGGTACCTTTAACTCCAAAGGCTTTTAGGAAATAGTTTAGGGTAATGTTGCTGAAACTGGGATATGGAAAGCTTTTAAGGCGTTTGACACTGTTTTCTACTTGCCTCGTTTATGTTGTAGAGAAGTAGAATGCTCTTATCCCCCCAGAATGTTCATCTGTCACTGGTTGAAAAATACCAGGCAGTTTCCTCTTTCATCTATTCATTGCCTTGCCTAGTTCCTAGAAACCATGGTGATTGTTTTAAATCTATGAAATGGTGGCTCATGCAAATATAAGACTAGACCTTCTTGTATTGATGAGAGAAAACTTGAGAATTTCACATAAAAAAGAACTGCTGAAAATGACATCTAAAGAACAAATATTCTTCATAAATGTTTATTGAATTAGTAATAAATTAATATAAATTATGCTGTTGCATAAGAATATAATCTTAAACAAAATGATTTGAAAACATTTTCTAAACTTCAGGGTAATGAAGTTTAGAGTTATTTGGATATTTTGTTTTAACCTTGTGAAACAAATATTGTTTATAAGCAGATCATACTTTACAGAGTGACTTTTTATGTATTGAATGAAGGTTTAAGAAGGAAAATTTTAATCTTTCATATGTTCTGTCTTAGATTGTTACTTTATTCTGAGATTCTATAATTGATATTAACATTTACTAAATATAGTAAAAAAAAATGAAGTTTGGAAAATAATTTTTCATTTTATAAACCAGATGAGAATATTTAAGTCCTGGGGTATGAATCATGTCACCTAACCTCTCAGGGTTAGCATATAGGATTTTTGTGGGTTTTTTTAAAGATTTATTTATTTATGCACACAAGAAATGGGGTGTAGGCCAGAGGTGTGGGGGCAGCGCGGAGAGGATTCACCAGAGACAGAGTGGGGAGCAGAACAGGTGGATTGACTGAAATACACTGCTGAGGGGAGCAGTGGGCAAGTCAGGAGAGGTCTGCTGCACCATGTGGGTCACCTCCCTGGGCGGGTATCATACTGCTATGGATTGCTTCATAGTGCTGACGCTTAATCCCTTGTGCCACTAAGGAGGCCCAGCAAATAGGATTTTAATGAAAAAGATACCATTGGACATCAGGAGATAATTTTCTGTTTTACTGCCAATATGGGTGAGAACTTTGCAAGATTAAGAATCCAGGGGATCATGCTGAGGTTTTAATTTAAATCGTAAGGTTCCATTCAGAACATTACATTGATCAGATTATATTTTAACATTTAACATAACATGACATTTAGATGAATATTTGGCTTCTTACTTGCAGAGTCATTTGAAAGCTTCTGAACATGCCACTGATATCCAGATGGTGAATTTTGACTATCATCAAATGGTTAAAGGAGGGAAGGCAGAAAAATTACATAGCATTCTTAAGCCACAAGTCCAGAAGTTTCTAGATTATGGATTTTTTTATTTCAATGGAAGTGAAGTTCAAAGGTTTGACTGCTATGTCTCTTTTTTTAAACTAGAACTTTGCTGTAATTTAAAGGTTATTCTTAATATTGAATGGTTAAATTTCTTCAATTTGACATTTATAGTTAAATGAATTATCTTTATGATACTTGATATTGTTTTGTTTTTCTTTCTTTAGAATGCAGCAAAAAAAATAGCTTATATTATTGAGCACATAATATAGGCTAGGCAGTATACCTGTACATATATCAGAAACAATTGTAGTTAGAGATTCTGTTATTATCTCCACTAACATTTGGGAAATTGAGGCATAGCCATTAATTACCCAGGGCATATAACTAGGAGTTATTGAGCTAAGATTCATCTGACTTCAGATCTCTTGCTTTTTGATATCTATGAGACTATTTCACATCTCTCATAAAACTAGTATTTTAATATGTCTTGACCTCAGTCAGGACTGTTAAGTGCAGATACATTAAAATGCATTGGTAGTCTGCTTTACTATAACTTAAATCTTCAGGTTTTGCTTAGGACATACAGGAGAAAAGTACTGAAAATTTTAAGTTCAGAATATAAGTTGAGGTAAACTAATAGAGGAAGGTCAAATTTTTAGTTTTTTCAGTTTGTACAGTATTTAGTACAAATGTCATAGCCATTTTATAGAGTATTTAATAGAGATAACAGATCTTAAATGCTTAAAATTCTTTCCATAAATATTTGATTATATTTTGTGTGCAAAGAACTATGAGGTAATAAACCTAGTTAAAAATAAGTGGGTATGAATGAGTAGATAGATATGTGCTAAAGAATATATGGGGGAAAATAGTAACAGTTGTAGAGTCTAGATGGTGGGTATTTGGATGTTCACTGCAAAACATTTTCATCTTTTTTGTGGGCTTGCTAATTGTAATAGAAAATGTTGTAAATAGTAAAATGTTGGGGATAGTAAACGGATGCTACATTTTAATCACCTTAGTTTTTCTCACTGTTGTTTCTGTTTGACTTTACTGAATTTGTTACAGATGCCAGAGTGGTACAGTTAGAACAAACTGCTTGGATTGTCTTGACAGAACAAATAGTGTGCAGGCTTTCTTTGGCTTAGAGGTAAAACAAAAATCAAAATTTATGTGTAGGAGACTTGTATCAAATGATGCCTCCTTTAGAGTTTTTGTAATATTGTTTCTCATTTGTTTTCACAGAATAAAATTATGCTTCATTAAAGATGAGCTCTGCTTCTCTTCTAGTGTTTTTTGGGGGGAGAGGGGAGGGGGCATTCCCTTTTCATTTAAAGTTTCCATTACCTGTTCAAAGTTCTCTCTTTAGGTAGCTATTTCCTGCTACTGTTCCTTAAATTTCCCTTTTAAAAAACCTCTGTTTATGCTATTCCAATAATTGCTTCTTTTCGTTATATTTTACACTTGATCTTAGCCAAAAGGCCAAGAAGCAATCTTTTGGTTATATTTTAGAAGAAAAATTGTACGTGTGTGTGTATGTACGTGACCTTCATGCTCTGCATTGTCTTTTAAAAGTCTCTTAGGAATTGGGAAGGATCTGTTTTCACATGTACAGTATTACAGGGTTGTATTTTTGACAGTCTTGTACCCATTGCAGTTTATATGGCATTTCAAATCAATAACTCTGAAAAACCTGAGATGAGCATGCCATTGTTAGTGAGAATAAAAGATAATGAGATTCAACTTCTCTGAAAGGTTTTTTCTTTACCACTTATCTACCAAATTCAGTCTAATGTAGACATAGTCTAAACTATTTGGCAAACTATGGCAGTGCTGAGCTTTCTAAACTTTCTTATGCAATAATTAGCTTCATAGGGCTATGGTGTGTCTTTATTTAGCACTATGGACAATTAGTGTCATTCTAAACACTATGAAAAATAGGAGCAGGAAGTAATATTTTCCTGTTTCCTCTAGTTAATGATCTTCAATTTGGCCAGAATATTGGTTAATTACTCTGCAGCTGAGGCTCTTTCTAGCTCAAAATGAAAGTATGGTTTATAGAATACTGCAGAAATATAATTTCTTTGTAACTAAATAAATTTGCTGCTTTGCCTGTCATGAAATCTGTCATTAAGGTCTATCATTACAATTTATTTAGAAAATATAACAGAGACAACAGAAGTGAAAGCAGGCATTTGGTCATTTGGATGGTTTTTAATCACATGTCTTGGACTTATTCCAAGTCTTTTTTAAGCGGTCTTTTACATTTTCATAGATTCTGAAAGTAAGCTTATTGAAATACTTGAAGTCTTCAGTAAATGAATGACACGTGTCAGTTTTCAGGAGTTGATTAAGCATCTGACTATACAAAATTGGCAGTTGGTGGGAGAAAACTCCCTATTAGTTGGTTGACAGGCTTCAAAATTTACTGCTGAACTAGGTAAAACTAAATTAGTAGCAAAGACCAGTTGTGCCCAACTCTTCAAAGAGAGGGAGGTATAAATGATAAAGGAAGTTGTGGGGACTTATTTTGATTTATTCTCTATGATAGCTTTTTTTTTTTTTTAAAGATTTATTTATTTATTTATACAAGCACTGGGTATAGTCAGAAGCACAAGAGGGTGAGAGAATTCACCAGAGCCAGAGCAGGGAGCAGAACAGGCAGAAGGACCAAAGTACACTGCTGAGGGGAGCAGCGGGCGGCAGGAGGGGTCTGCGCGCCATGTGGGACCCTCGCCTGGAGGCCGGTAATCGAACCAGTGCTGCAGAGGCTGCGGGCAGCTTCGCAACCCAGCGCTCAACCGCTGCACCACCGGGAAGACCCCCCCCCTTTTTTTTTTAAGATTTATTTATTTATGCATACCAGAGCTGGGGTACAGGCCAGAGATGCAGGGGGTGAGAGAATTCACTAGAGACAGAGTGGAGAACAGAATAGACAGACAAACTGAAACACACTGCTGAGGGGAGCAGCGGGGAGACAGGAGAGGTCTGCTGTGCCATGTGGGTTGCTCCCTGGCCATCCAGGGATCAAACTCATGCTGCAGAGGCTGCAGCTTGCTTCATAGTGTGGTGTAAAACCCCTTGCGCCACCAGGGAGGCCCCTGTTATTTTAGTTCTTGATGCATCTATAGATACAGATAATTGCCACACAGAGAGAGAAAAATTAAAAAATGAAATAAACACAAATGGGATGGAGTTAAGTAAAACCACAAGACATAAATTATGACTGGATTCGAAGAGAAATAGACTTGATAAAAAAATTATACATTGCTTTGACTCTAAAGACGAATAATTTTTCTAAGCACTTTATCTGTAATGGAGTCATTGTGGTGGCCCAAAGATTCTTATATTCCTTGCATTCTCTGTTCTTTCTCATTTTCCCTGTATGTCTTATCAATATAGATTTTATGCATAAAAGTTGTATATTTAGATATATGGCCTTTTTTTGTTCTGACAATTCAAGAACAACTCTACTTTTCTCATAATTGCTTCACCATAAATACTCAAATGTATAGAACCAAATTAGAGAATATTATCTATATATATTTAGATAAACTAGGTAATTTTTATTATTTTTTTCCTCCTACTATACATTTTGCTGAGTAATTCGTTCTTCTAGTTAAATGAGTAATCTGATTTATAGGGATATTTAATAAGATTAATTTTATTGTTTAAACAGAAAGAAGTTCTTATTGCTGCAAGGGATTATTAAGTTATTTGTAAGATTCATTAATTTGATACTTAGTTTCAAAATTGAAATGGTGGGAAATAACACAGATAACCTAATAAACTTACGTTGTCAGAATACAGCTCCTGATAGTCTTATAAGTAAATATTTGGTTTGGTTCTTGTAGTTCTTAAAAAGTAAAATCATAATTGATGTAGTAAATGTACTGAAGGCAGTTTCTGTTTTACTATTACAGATGCTAGCTAAACAGTTGGAAGCTCTGGGCTTAGCTGAAAAACCTCAGTTGGTGACCCGTTTTCAAGAAGTGTTTCGGTCAATGTGGTCTGTGAATGGTGACTCGATCAGTAAGATATATGCAGGCACTGGTGCCCTGGAAGGAAAAGCAAAGGTGGGTCTACAGCTATGTAACGTCACAGAAGATTCTGTTTCTTCTTTTAAGAAAGATTTTAAGTGGTCTCTTTTTAATTTATTTTTTAGGTACCTGTTTGAGAATTCTGTTTTATTGTGCTTTCATGTCCTCTTTAACTTAGTAGATACTGTAGTAGATATTGACAATTGACTGCAAAATTGTTTTACTTCCCTGGGTGTGGGGTGTGTGTATTCATGACATGTTATCATTTAGTGGTAATCCACTAAGCGTGTGTGTGTGTATGATTTTCCCTTGTATATCTGTTTTACTTTTTATATTGTTTAATTCGGTTATAAATATTGTGTTTTTTAAAATTACAGGCCTCCTCATAAAGGGTTCTATGTCATTTAATTGTCCCCAGCATTTGACACAGTATTTAATAGATGTATGACATATACTAGATGGAAAAATAAGTCAGTGGACCATGTATTCAATACCAACTATGAAAGCTACAGTATTAGGGCTTGAATGTTAAGTTTTTATTCTTTTCCTTATATTACCCTGAGAAGGAGGCTATCAAAATGTGCAAAAAAAAAATGTGAGATATGTACTTACAATTTTGTACTTCAAACTTAACTTTTTAATTGCTGATACTATCTATAGAATGCTTTCTGATCTAGTCTTTGGCCCTTATTGAGGGACTTTGAAAGCATGCATAATATCTTTTCATTATTTTATACATTTAAATATTGACTTTTTAAGGCTTCTGGCTTTAATTGAATTTATTAACGTTTCAATTCTCTGCAGTTCCTGAAATCACCACAGGAACAGAAGGAACAACACTTTCACAGTTCCTATTCAGCCTCTTTAGTATAGTGATAATTATATCTAGGTCTTCTTTTAATTTCCAAATCTTCTTCCTCTTTCCTGTCTCATAAACTGCTATGCATCCTTTCAGAAGTATTGATCTTACCTGCAGAATTTCTTTTGTTCATCACATAGAAACAACTTGTATTGACATATACAAATACTTACTTCTAAAATGGTCCCTATTTTTAAAAGCCTGAAATTGTTAAACTTAATAGCAAACTTAATTGTTAAACTAAATAGCAAACCTAATTCTTGCTGTTAAAACCTTATTTTCTAGAACCACTGCTTAAAATATTTTTATGTTCTTTTACCTTTTTGTTTTAATGGTGACTAAGACAATACATGTCAGAGGTTGCATATATTTTCAGTGGTCTTTGGTCTCTCTTATGTAATACATAATGAAATTTTGTATTATTACATCTACTAATCTGAATTGAACTAAAATCTAACTTCTGAACTGCTCTTTCTTTTCCTTTCTCTGGGTTCCTTTTGATTAATTGCCTGATATGTGAATGGTGAGTGTCTTTTCAAATGTCATTTGTCTATATTATTATATGGAAGGAAATAACATTTTAAGCCTTAAGTTAAAGGAATAAAAAAATACATATTACAAATCAAAGTTTTTTTCTAAAAGAGTTTTTTAAAACAATCATCCAAATCTGTAAAATCAGAATAAATCTTTATGGTAACTAACATGCCTAAGGAAAATAAGTATTCATAAAGGTTATAATTAACTTACTGTAGGAATTGGCATGTTTATTATTTTTACGTAGACAATAAAATGGCTTAAAATAAATAAACTGTAGTTTACATGTAATATTTATGAACTGTAATTTGAAATTTTTTTTACACTAGCCTTTCATTCTTTTAGTTTTGACTAATAAAAGTTATTGGGGAGCATTTTCCTGCTATGTACTTTGAAGTTTTTCTAAGAACACATAAGTATAGTGTATCCTTCTTTTTCTCCCCTGCTTCTCCCTATCTCATCCCAAGTCTGTAAGTTAGGATGTAAGAAAGTAATTTCCTTGCTTTAAATAAAATTCCCTCCATTTATTTTCGTTATAGTAAACAGTTTTCCACATTTACTGCTCTGGGTGTCATTATTGGGTGCAGTTGTGAGACTGAGCTTTTTCCATCATTTGTGCACAGCTGTTATCTAAAAGATGAAAAGGAACAGTGGCATCTTGAGTCATTTTAATGAGATGGTTAAATATTAAAAATGGAAGTATTGGGTTCTTTATATTATAGTAAAATCATATAAAACTGATTTCAAGTTTCAAAATGCCCACTGGGTAAAATCAACAATATTTAGAATGAAAATCCTTGCTCCTTCCTTCCCCAACAGGCTGGAAAGTTGAAAGATGGTGCACGTTCTGTTACCAGAACAATTCAGAATAACTTCTTTGACAGCTCCAAGCAAGAGGCCATTGATGTTCTGCTCCTGGGAAACACTCTAAACAGTGACTTAGCTGACAAAGCTCGGGCACTTTTAACTACTGGAAGTTTGCGTGGTATGTGTGCTTACTTTATATTTTACTTAGTTTATACTGTTTATAATCCTTCTAAAAGTCTAAGAGGTAAATGTAAGCTTTATTGCATAAAGTTTAGATTGAGTTGATTAATATAATTTGGAAGGAATTTCATATGGTTGTAATTTTTAAAAATTGTATATTTAAAATGTTTATACCATCAGTGGTATTGAGTCATAAACAGAGGCTCATGCATGTATTCTTTTTTAATCTTTTTATTGAGGAGGTAAATTGTTTAAGTATTGCTGACTACATAAGGCAGGGTTTCATAGAATATTCAGCGAGTACTTTTAATAGAACATTCAACAACCTAATTATGTAGTAAACAAATGCTTTGTTGAAAAAGCAATACCAGTATTGCTTATTTTGCTAATTGCTACCCCAAAAGCTTTTATAATGTCATCTTTTTAGTTGCTGTTGTTCGAAGAAACACTAAATCATATTAATTAATAATTTTAAATATTGCTTATTATTAGATGCTCACTATTCCATATTTTAATATTTGATATAAATATACAGCTTTCAGGGCAGCTTTTTGTCTTTAAGCATATCAGCTATTAAAATCAAAGCAATTCGAGCTCATATTGGTTAAGCATATGTAAGTAGTATTATGCATGATGGAAAAACTTAACAGTCATTATATATAGCTCAATAAATAAGATTTCCTTAATTCTATTTTTTTTCTATTTTGACTTTTCATCACCCTGAACATTTTAATTTCTTGTTATCCCCAAACCAGACCTTTCAGTTTTCCCTGTTCAAGAAGGAGAAATTGTTCCTCATCAAGTAATGTACTCTTGGACAATTATGTGACCAATTAGGTCATCATGGAATCTTTCTGAATTCCACATGGCGGTGAAGGTAGTCAGTTGCAGTCAGCTTCCCTGGGATCTATAAGTAGGTTGGGGGACTGAGCCCTACCAAAGCTCTAAAAACCAAGATCCAATCTTAGCTACAACTTGTCACTTCAAGCTTTCTTCTGGCTTCCAACAGTAGTGATTTGACTGGTTTGCATCCTATCACCTCTTTCCACTTGTGCCCACTTTGACATGGAGGTATTATTAAGCCATAATTGAAAGTAAGCAACTGAAGAAGAAAGAAACCTAAGAATTCCCAAACTTAATCATCAGTTTTATAGTTTTCACATTTTAAATCTGTTAGTAACATACGCCAAATAAAACAGTAGTGTCAATGCTGTAACTTGTTCTGAGAATGGGAGTTTATTCCAAAATGAATGCTATCTTAGGGAACATTGAACATAATACCAGTTCTACTTTAGTTTATACATGACTCTGCCAGCAATAACACTCAATCTACACAGAAAACTGCACCCTGCAGAACTGGGGTGGGTACACATACCACATACATACACATATGCACACACGCAGACATCTCTCCTCCTCCGTCACCAGCTGTGCCACACCTGTCCACACCTTCTGTTAAAACTTTCCGTCCCATTTCAGAGAATCTTTCGTCATTCCCAAGCCACTGTCATTCACAAACTGCCGCCATCCTGATAGCCATTTCTACAAGCTAACTTAGATCTTTTTAAGGTGAAGTGCTATATTTAAGGAACATTCAAGCACTTCTTAACCATTTAATGTGTGTTAAACTGTGCTGCTGTTTGGTGAGTCACAGCAGAAATTTTTGAGTGTTGTGCCCTAACTATTTTTTCCCATATGCCCTGGGAATTTACACAGTTATACATAGCTTAGTGATTTTATTTATTTATTTATTTATTTATTTTTTTATTTTTATTTATTTATTTATACAAGCACTGGGTACAGTCAGAAGCGCAGGAGGGTGAGAGAATTCACCAGAGCCAGAGCGGGGAGCAGAGCAGGCAGAAGGACTGAAGTACACTGCTGAGGGGAGCAGCGGGCGGCAGGAGAGGTCTGCACGCCATGTGGGACCCTCCTCCGGTGGCCGGGGGCAGCTGGGGATCGAACTGGCGCTGCATAGGCTGCGGGCAGCTTCGCAACCCGGTGCTCAACTGCTGCGCCACCGGGGAGGCCCCAGTGATTTTATTTTTAACATATGTTTTGTCATGACTGAACTGATGGTACTCACCAAATGGTAAGTCACAGAGAGATTACTAGAAGGTACATGATAGGACAGTATCTTTCATATGTTCAATAGCCTCCAGTCTCTTGAGTTTTCATATTTATATTCCCCCTTACATCTTTGTGTATGTGCGCACGTATGTGCACGTACACACACACACACACACACACACACACACACACTCAACACTCAAGTCAGTCATAGAAGTAGCATGAAAAGCAGGCCTGGAACCTTGGGATCGTGAAATTCTGGACATCATTGAGTCACTGTAGGGTTTTTCTTGGATGGAGAGGCTTTGCATCAGTGATTGTCACTTATTTTTCATCTTTGGTGCCCTGTAGCCATCAATAAAAATAAATTCATCGTATTGACTTTGAAAGAACAAAGAGAGGCCATCTTATAATGTTTTGTGGTAACACTGTAGGTTTTAACTGTAACTTGATGTTTTACTAATGATTCTTTGTTTCCTTCTTGATGCATCCATAGTATCTGAACAGACATTACAGTCAGGTACAGTATAGAAAATCAACCTACAAAAAAGAAAAAAACTTTTTCATTATTTTTCTAAAGTTGATATTGTAAATCAATAAAGTCATATAAATGGAAATCTTATTTTGCCCTCAGATTCTAACAGGATAATTGAGTCCTTGTTTTATTTGAGGAAAAAATGTGAAGTTAAGCAAACAAACAACTTCACTTAGAAGAAAATATGCAGCGCTCTTTGTCTTCCTCTAGTAAATGCGTAACTCCAATTAAATATAATTTATCTAGTGTTAATTTCACTTTTATATTTTATTGAACAAATGTTACTAGTATTATACTTTAAACAGGCTAATGGGGAAAAAAACAGTGACTTATTTTGGCTTAGTTGCATAGTATTTTGTGATATTATCACTACTCAATAATATTTAAAGGCATTTTCACTTTCTCATTGTGGATGAAATATTTTCCATGACTATAATATGTGAACTAAAATACAATCTGAAATCTTCTTAAAAGCATTAAGATGCTCATAAAGTTAGAAGAGTTAAGCATGTAAGATCTAAAGGTCACTGTTTATCTTGCCCTTCCTGTTCGTAGAATCTCATGGCTTCATTCCTGGGAAAAGGTCTGTGATCTTGACTTTAAACATGAAGTTGTGGCAAAAAAGCATAAGCTATGCTATTGCCAGAAGTTTAGCTGAAAAAAATTTATTTATTTCCCTTCACTAAGACTGGAAATCACTCAACATTTGTTCTACTTAGTTATGTGGTAGATAACTGTTTATTGTTGTTTTGAGAAGGATGGAGGTAGAAGGGGCATTTGGGTATATTTTGAATGATGAAGTCAGTTTTCTGAAATGAGGTATTTAGGATTGACATCTATTTGAACATAGACTTACTACTTTTTTTCTGCATATTAAGATGCCTACTAGTTAATAATAAGAAAAGAATTTTTGTAACTTTTCATTCCATTTAAATACAGAGTTTCCTATTTCATATAACATGGCAACATGTTTTTGTTCACACAGTTCATTTTTTTTTGCTGAATATTTTAAACTGCTCAATCATAGAGCTTGGATTTTGATGTAGAAGGGAATGCAGAAGCTGCTATCATAGTCATAACAATGACAGTGACTTCAGTTAGAAAGGCCAGTAATAAACCATAGTGATGGAGAGTAATTCTTTACGTGGGAACAGCCAACTTTTAATTAACCTTACCTGCAGGCCAGAACGAATAATCTGTTTTCATCACCACCTGACGCCTCTATACAAATAAATTAAATTACAAGAGGATTAGAACTTGGCGTGTCTATCTCCGGGAACACAGTTTAGCATCTAAATCACAGTTCTTTCAGGGGATTCACAACTCAAAACTATTTTCATTATAATACTGAGATAGTTTTGCCCTAATTTTTACTCTCGTTCTTTTAAAATTGTCGTATCTTATTGTCATAAAATAATAACTATAATAAATATAAACTAAGATCATGTAGTAAAAGGTGAGAGTATCATTCTGATATCCTTTTCTTCTTACTAGTTAACTGCCAATTAAGTACATAGTATCTGTTTTTATTTTGAGGTCCTGTTAAGCTTCTATCTAATTTAAGTGCCAAGAATTTAACTTAAGCAAAATAAAATGTGGTTTAGAAGGAAGAAAGGCAGGTGTTTGTCAGAAATTATTGCAGGAAGAAGATTTAGGGTTCAAAATTATTGAGCATTCATTCATCAATTATTTAGTGAGTACTTACTATGCCCCAGGTACTCTTCTAGTCAGTAGAGAGAATGCAGTAAATAAAATTCTGCTTTCATGGAGCTCCAGTCTTATGATGGGAGAGAGATAGTCACAGAATGAATAAATAAAGTACATAATTTGGAATTGGCAATAAATTCTATAGAAAGAAATAAAGCAACAATGGAACATGGAAGGTTTGGGACAGAATGAAACTTTGAATAAGGTGGTCTCTGGGAAAGCAAAAACCTGAAAGAGGTAAGGAAGCAAGTGTTGCAACAAGTGGAACAGCCAGTGCAAAGGCCCTGTGCTGGGAACAGCCCTAGAATCTTTTTGAAATAGTAGGGAAACCAATGGCTGAGTAAGATTGAACAGGGAAGGGGTAGGTAGCAGATGAGGACAGAAGGGCAAGGGCAGATTGTTCAGTGCCTTGTAGACCATTGTTAAGGAGTTTGGCTTCTGCTCTGAGCAAGATGGCAAGCATTTAGTAATGACTTCAATCTCTGACATATCATTATTGTCCATAATTTACATTTGTCAAGGAGCCATTATTCATCAAACCACCTATTAGTAGTTAGAATCTTAAATGTAATCTCCAATTAAATGTTTTGGGGGGAAAATAAAATTTATATTTTTATCAGCCTCCACGTGAAAGTCATATGAAAGGCAATTGCTGTAGTCCTAAAATCAGTTTCTAATTTTGTATATTATAAAATAATGTGCTCTTTCATCAAAACAGAACTGTTTTTTCTGCATGATTTATGTTGCTGTAATAGCTTTGTAATAGCTCTTATTACTTTGACTATTGCATTTAATGTTCTTAAAAAAAATTGCTGTAGGTTAATTGCATTGTGCTGGGCTTTCAAGGCTGATCTCTATCTGTGCCTGTGCATGTACATTATGCTTGTTTTGTCTTATGATAATTGTACTTCCACACATTTTTCTCAGTTATGAGAACTATATGGTTTAATGCTAAAATTCTTTTGTGTCTTGGTTTTGATTAGCATCTTCTAAAGTTCTAAAGAACATGTGTGAGAATTTCTACAAGTATTCGAAGCCCAAGAAAATCCGAGTGTGTGTCGGAACATGGAATGTGAACGGAGGGAAGCAGTTCCGCAGCATAGCTTTTAGGAATCAGACTCTCACTGACTGGCTTCTTGATGCACCCAAGTTAGCTGGCATCCAGGAGTTTCAAGGTTGGCTTTTTATAGTATGGATTCAATTAATATAAACTATGACTCACTGATCTAGAAAACAACTATAGCACTTCACAATATGCATTTTTATATAAAAGAAATTTGGATTTGTAAAAACTAAGACCAACATTTTTATAAACTCTGTTAATGTCTTATCTCTTTTTAATTCCTAGACCTTTATTTTCCTTTATTAAAAAAGTTTAAAAAAATTTCTTCTTTGATACTTGATTTGGTACATATATAAACAGGTATCTTTAAAGGCATACCAATATAGAAGAAAAACTAGTCTTATGGTTTTAAATTGGAACAAGGCAAGCTTATTATGTAATTGATAATTTCAGTTTCATTTTCAAACCTCGTATGTTCCATTTTTCAAATCTAGTCCTCAGTCTGGTCACTAAGAACATTCAGAGTGGATGCTGAGCGTTCTCACAAAACCTACATTTGTTGGTCTGTAATTTAACAGGTCTAGCTTATCACTGTGAGGAACTTGATTGTCATTCAGTTTGGGTACTCTGCCATCATGCTGTTACTAATCAGAACCAGGCGTTAAGCTGAGGATGCTTTCATTAAGATTTTGATTGGAATCATGAATTTGAGGCTGCCGCTTTTTTTTTTTAAATTCAGCTTTAATTCCTTTTCAGAATGGTGTGCACTTGTCAATTAGTGTATGTGAAGGTGACATACATAGGAAATAGTGTGAGATACAAATTTTACTTCTTACTTCCCTTTAGTCATGTTAAACCCTGGGATTTTTCTCAAAGTTTCATTAAAATGCCCCTTTTCACTTAGACTGATGCTAGTTTGGAATTGTGGCTGTAATTACTATTATTACTAATAGCTAATACAATTCTAAGTACTTCATATTTATTTACATTCATTTAATCCTCATAGCAGACCTACTGCACAGATGCTATTGTCCAATTTCAAAGATGAGAAAACTGAGACACAGAAGGGAAGTGGCCTGCCCGAGGCTGTGCAACTAATAGTGACAGAACCAGGATTTGGATTCAGGGGGTGTGTTCCCAAGTCTTTGTGTCATACTGCATGTTACGTGTGAACTTGGGCAAGTTGCTTAGGCTCTTCAAAGTCTCAGTTTCCTGTCTGTAAATAAAAGACAGAAATACTTTGTTTCATGATGTGTGTAGTAATTAAATGAAATGATGCGTATTTGGGCAATAACAGTAAATAAATATTCTTTCTTTTCCATTTTTCAGTATTAGTTCCTAGTGTTCGTAGGCTCTTTCTAGCTATTTATCCTCATTTCTGAATACTTGCACTCCTCAAAGTACCCCTGGGTAGCTTATCTCAAGCAGCTTTGTTGTCTTTCAGTCCTTGTCAGCTATGAGAGAGCAGACGGCTAGAACAGCAGGGTCCATCTCATCCCCCGAAAAGCTTCTGATTTTTCTGGATTTCTTCCACCTAGCAAATAGATCAAGCCCATGGTTTTCAAATTTGAATGTGCAGAGACCTTCCCAACTGTTAGCTCTAATTTGAGATGGTTTCTCAGCTACTTTGTGCCTTTTCTGAGGATTTCTTTGACCTTCCCAGTGTACCTTTGAGAAATATATTTTTTCTCTGCCTTACAGTGATTTCTGAAAGGACTTAAGGATCTTCAAGAATAACATTTTTTTAAATTGATTTATTTTTTAATTTTTGGTTTCTTAATTTTGTACATTTTTTACATCATTTTTCATTTTTGTACAATGTATGCATTTTAAAGAAGCAAATTTGAATAGAAAGCAAATTTGGAGTAATCTTGCCCCCCTGATGGGTTTTTGCCTTTCATTTGAATTTGGTTAAACTTAAAACACAAAAATGGACTACTTTGCGATCTGGTATTGATCTTTGTTGGATTGTCATTTGACTAAAGTTGTTATTTTAAAAGTCTTTCTTGGATGCTTAATTGTAGATAAAAGAAGTAAGCCAACTGATATATTTGCAATTGGTTTTGAAGAAATGGTGGAGTTGAATGCTGGAAATATTGTGAATGCAAGGTAAGTGAGGTGACATGGGCACATTTTCCAACTGAGGGGCATGTAGGGGCTTCTTAAACTGCGGAATAGTTTAAACTTTGTAGTTTGGGGATCTTTCTGTACTCTTAAAAATGTAACCTTAAAGGTGCTCAAGATATATCAATGAATAAAACAGACAACAACCCTACCTGCATGATCTATTCTAATGGGAAAGAGACAATCAAGAGTAACTATAAGTAAATGATAAAGCTTGTTGAAAGATGGTGAGTACAGTGGAGTAGAACTGAGGAAAAGGGGATAAGGCATGTGCAGGTGGGAGGTGTGTGCATTCTTAATTGGAATGGTCAGGTAGAGTTCATTAAGAAAATGTTTGAGGGGTGAGCTGAAGAAAGCTATTACTCTCATTTCAGAATCCAAGTCATAGAGGTGGGCTATGGGTGGTCATGAATCCGTGTTCTGAATTTGTATTTTGGAGGTGGTATGGCACAGTGCCAGACAGATGGGATGGGATGTAAGGTCATGGTCTGGCTCACCTCTTGTCATCTGTCTTGCACTCCATTGGAGGTTCTTAGCCACTTATTATTCCTAAAATTTATAAATGTTGGAGCATTGATCCTGCCTTCTTTGTGTGAACTGTGTTTCAGAGTAATTGACTATATGATAAAAGTTCTTTATAAAAGAATTCCAACTTATTACAAAATCCTGTGGAATGCTGAAATTATAAAATCAATATTTTGTAACACCCAGTGAATAGGCCTAGTCAATGATTAACAATAGATGTAAAGCCCTAGAAGATGAATTAATGGGGGAACTTTTTATAATAAAGAGTTGATTAGATTGTTACTATCTCAACAGCTGACCAAGTGTAACATCACAGAAAGTGTACTTCCTGTTGTGATATAAGGGTGACTGTACCGCCCAAGAGATTATTGTTGCCAAAATAAATAAATTGAAGGTGTTTCTTTTTTTTTTTTTTTTTTTTTTTTTAAAGATTTATTTATTTATTTATTTATTTATTTATACAAGCACTGGGTACAGTCAGAAGTGTGGGAGGGTGAGAGAATTCACCAGAGCCAGAGCGGGGAGCAGAGCAGGCAGAAGGACCGAAGTACACTGCTGAGGGGAGCAGCGGGCGGCAGGAGAGGTCTGCGCGCCATGTGGGACCCTCCTCCAGTGGCCGGGGAGCAGCCGGGGATCGAACCGGCGCTGCAGAGGCTGCGGGCAGCTTCACAACCCAGCGCTCAACCGCTGCGCCACCGGGGAGGCCCTGAAGGTGTTTCTTAATCAGGCTTCTATATTAACCAGTTTAAAGCAAATGCTAGGGGTAGAGGGACAAGGTAAGATAGCATGTGAACACATCAGCCAAATCCACATTTTACAAATGACCCAGCTTCTTAAAAAATAAATGGCATTAATAGAGGGTAGAGTGGGGAGACTTGAAAATCACTAGAGATTAGGAGAGATTCAAGAGGCAAGTGCAATGTGTGGGCCTTATTTAGACCCTGCTTTAAAGAAAGCAGCTATAAGAAGATAATTGTTTAGATAATCAGGAAAATTTAAATATGAACAAATATGAAATGATAAGTAAGGAATTTTAAAATTCAAGTGTGACTATAGCATCACATTTTTTATGTAAAAATGAAAGTGCCCTGTTGTAGTAGGGATGCATGCAAAAGTATTTACAGGTGAACTGATATATGTCTTAGACTTGGTTTAAAATATTCCACACTTAAAAAAAAATGAGATAAGAAAAAGATGAACAAAATATTGATAACTGTTTAATCTGGCTAAATGTATACAGTAGTTTATTTTATGATTATCTTTTTCTGTGTTTACATTTAAAAATTTCTGTAAGATTTTAAAATATATAGTAATTATACTCCAGAAAAATAAAAAGGGGAAAAGTGTCTGGAAGCATACACTTCTGTATTATCCTAATGAACACATAAGGAAAAACATACACACTTGAGATTACTCACATGCTGAGTTCTCATTCAATAAGGTAACTCAGATTTTGTTTGGAGAGGAGTAATAGATTTTGAAGTATAATATTGTCTTGGCTAAATTTTGAGTTTTTCTTTTAAAGGAAATAACAGCTTGCATAGAGTTTCCTGTCCTTGGGTTTCATAATAGCAGGTTACAGTTTTACTAATTAAGGTTTAATTGACCAGTATCACTATCTTTTGAAAGATTCTCTTTTTCATGTTTTCTGGTAGCACAACAAATCAGAAGCTCTGGGCTGTGGAACTTCAGAAGACCATCTCCAGAGACAACAAATACGTGCTGCTGGCCTCTGAGCAGTTGGTGGGCGTCTGTCTGTTTGTCTTTATCAGACCGCAGCACGCTCCTTTTATCAGGTCAGTGAACAGAACACTCTTGTGAGGTTACTTCCTTCCACCAGATGACCAGAAAACGGCCTCAAATGTTTGCTGCCTCAGAGAAACACTTATTTGTGGTTCTTATAAAAATGTTTTTGTTTAAAGACTCACTCACAGTTTTACTGTACTCTTTACAGCCTTGCCCTCAAAGCCCCAGGCAATGTGTAGTTATAATAATTATGTAATATACAGTCCTAATTTCTTTTAAAAAATTTTTTATTGAAGTAGCATTGGTTTATGACATTGTATAGATTTCAGGTGCACATCTTTGTAAATCAGCATCTGTATATCATACACATATTCCTAATTTCCTACAAGGACTACTGAACTTTCAGATCTTTGATTTGAAATTCTTTGTTTTAAAGGGATGTTGCAGTTGATACAGTGAAGACTGGGATGGGAGGGGCAACTGGAAACAAGGGAGCAGTTGCGATCCGGATGCTGTTCCATACCACAAGCCTTTGCTTCGTCTGCAGCCACTTTGCTGCAGGGCAATCACAAGTCAAAGAGAGAAATGAAGATTTTGTAGAAATAGCACGGAAGTTGAGTTTTCCTATGGTAAGCACTTGCTGCTTGTTCTTCAAGGAGAAGTTCTAAGACTTATTTTAATTTACCCAAAATTTTAGATCAGTGTGTTTGTAAATTTAACATGGTTCCTAAAAGCATCAACAGTTTTTGCATAGATAAATATTTCATGAGTTTATCGTAGTTAGATTAAATAAACTGGGCATAGCCAGAAAGCAGATCTATCTGAGGCAACAAAAATAGTTGTAAAATACTTCTGTCTTAATTATTTTGGTTGTTTTGAATTTAAAATTCCATCTCCTTGCTTCCAGGGAAGGATGCTATTTTCCCATGACTATGTATTTTGGTGTGGCGATTTCAACTATCGAATTGATCTTCCTAATGAAGAAGTTAAAGAACTGATAAGACAGCAAAATTGGGATTCTCTTATAGCAGGAGATCAACTTATCAATCAGAAAAATACTGGACAGGTATATAAATATATATATCTATATATACTTCAGAAGACACTTGCATTGAAAAGAAGGGAATTGTTGGTTATGAAACACACTTTCCTTCATTGTAATGTTCCCTTTTTGTTACTCTCTTGGAGTCTTTTTATACTTAATAAATATATATTTGTAGTTTAATAGATACAGAATTGCCTTTCCTTTAAAGGAAAAAAAAACCCTCATAATTCTTAGGAGGAAAAAATCAGTCTCTGCAAGACTCACTTTCTTTTTGTTTTCTGAAGCTTTTTTTTTTTTTAATGTTGAAATAACATTAGTTTACAACAGTGTTTGTGTTTTAGAGGTATAGGATCTCCCCCTTCAGGTTTAGATCATGTTCAAGTGAAAGAACATACATGTTTTTCTGTAGTGATAGCAAATTTAGAATCTTAGACTTCAAGGCCCCTGTTTTTTTGGCTTTAAAGATCCTGTGGTAATCTACTTTATTTATCTTTTGTGTATTTCTCTTATCATATGCTTTTGGAAACGTATTTCTTTTTTAGATTTATTTTTTATTTATACAATAGCTGGGGTACAAGCCAGAGGTGCGGGAGGGTGAGAGGATTCACCAGAGACAGAGTGGGTTGCAGAACAGGCAGACAGACCGAAAGCACTGCTGGAAGGAAGCAGCAGGTGCGACAGGAGAGGTCTGCCACGCTATGTGGGAATCTTCCTGGCTGGCCAGGAATCGAACCGTGCTGCCAAGGCTGCGGACAGCTTCATAGCGCTGTGCTCAATCAGCTGTGCCACCGGGGAGGCCCTGGAAATATATTTCTTAAAACTTATAGTCACAATATTTTGGAAGAAATAATGTAAAAAAATTTGGGGAGGCAGTTAAGAAGTCATCAGACTTTGAGGTCATCAGACTTAAGTTCTAACACTTTGGGCGCCACCAGAATTCTTTAGTTCCTCACTTGAGATAAGAGTTTAAGCCCGATGACTTCCAAAATCCCACACAGAACTATAGCTCAAGGGCTAGTGGAATTCCATTGTTCACATTTTTGTACTTTATTCAATTGAAGATCAAACAAATGGAATGAGAAAGGCCATGTCTTAGTTTGTTTTTTCTTAAGCTTAGTTCCCTCCAGCTAACAAAACCCATCAGATGCACACACATTTCCTGTAAGAGTCCAGCACATAGTAGACATGTAATGAATGGCTTCCTGAATGGAAACAACTTGTTTTGCCTTTTTTTTAAATAGTAGGCTATCTTTTTATTTATGTATTTATTTTTAAGATTTACTTATCCATGCATACAAGAACCCGGGTACACGCCAGATGGGTGGGAGGGTGAGAGGATTCACCAGAGACAGAGAGGGGAACAGAACAGGCAGACTGACTGAAATACACTGCAGAGGGGAACAGTGGGTGAGACAGGAGTGGTCCGCCGCGCCATGTGGGATTCTCACCGGCTGGCCGGGATCAAACTGGCGCTGCAGAGACTGCGGACAGCTTCTCAGCGCTGAGCTCAACCACCTGTGCCACCAGGGGAGGCCTTTGTTTTGCATTTTTGAATAACTTACTTTGTGTGTGTTTATTTTAGATTTTTAGAGGATTTTTAGAGGGAAAAGTAACCTTTGCACCGACGTACAAGTATGATTTATTTTCTGATGACTATGACACCAGTGAAAAGTGCCGCACCCCTGCCTGGACAGACCGTGTGCTGTGGAGAAGGAGGAAGTGGCCTTTTGATAGATCAGGTTGGGAGATGCACTTCCTTATTTAAATGAATTAGTGCGAATTAGTTTATAAGGAAATAAGAAGGCTAATCTGTTCAACACAGTTCATCTAGAATAGAATAATATTTAAATATGAAAGATTTTTTTTTAATTTTCTCAGACCTTATACCAATTTAATTTTTCAATCAATGTTCTTTCAGTGACATAAAATCGTACAAAGAGAAGCCAGGAAATATTTTTATAACATTTTCAGTTGAAAATTGAAAACCTTTAATAAGGTTTTTAACCTGAAGAGCTAAAGTGGTTTGGAATTATTTTGAACTAATACTTATCTATTAAATTATTTATGAAATACTGTTTGGTCATAGACATTTAAGTAATCTCAGAATTAAAGCCTATTCTTAATTTTACTAAGTAAAACATAAAATGATAAGTTTACCAAAAAGCAACTTTTTCTAACTTAAAGGTGTCTAGAATTCTTGCCTGTTAGCTGGTGTACCTGGCATCCCAACCTCAGACAACGAAGCTAATGAAACAAGAGATAGCTCTATGCTCACACGATCTGTCATGCTCATGTGGCTTCTCTTGTGTTCTTAATACAGCTGAAGATTTAGATCTTCTAAATGCTAGTTTCCAAGATGGAAGCAAAATCCTCTACACGTGGACTCCTGGCACTTTGCTGCACTATGGGAGAGCTGAGCTTAAGACTTCAGACCACAGGTCAGTATCCCAGTGATGCTTCACATTTGTTCTGAATGCATCATTTTTAAACATTTCTAATACCTCTATTTTCCTTTGCCTTAAGGCCTGTCATTGCCCTGATTGATATAGATATATTTGAAGTTGAAGCTGAAGAGAGGCAAAATATTTATAAAGAAGTAATTGCCGTTCAGGGACCACCAGACGGTACCGTGTTAGTCTCAATCAAAAGTGCTTCACCAGAACATAACTTTTTTGATGATGCTTTGATTGATGAGCTTTTGCAGCAGTTTACAAATTTTGGTGAAGTTATACTCATAAGGTAAGTAAAATATTTCTATATTAGAAGTCATTGTATTTAGTGTTTGAATTGTGTATGAGAAACTATAGGGAAACCATATTCTAGAAATGTTATTCAAAGAATGCACAGGTTTTAAAACTGAATTTTCTACTAAAAATTTAAAGTCAAAGAATAAAATATATGAACAATTGATAATAAAATATGTACACAATGAGAATAGATCTTACAAGTTTCCTATATCACATAATAAGTCACAAAGCTGTATGGCAAAATGAAGCTGTGATTTTTTTTTTTTTTTTTTTTTTTTTTTAAGCATAGAGGAATACATTTTTTTTTAAGGAGAGATAGGAGATGGACACCCACGGCTGCCTCCATATTCTGGTTGTTACATCTTAAGACAACCAAGTGAGAATACAAATGTAGAATCTAGACAATGTAGTGACTCCCCCCTCTCCCTTCCTCTCCAGTTTAAGAAATTTGATGTCTTGAGTAATTTTAAATATGTTTAATTTGTAATTAATGCAGAAGCAGCACTGCCAGATGATGATGAGTCAGGAGTCATCCATTACAGTCTTGGTTTCTGTCATTGACTTAACCATCTGCCTCTTATAGACCCAGATGCCTTTTTTTTTTTTTTTTAAATTTTATTGTTATATTCCCCATACAATTGCAGCCCCCCCATTCTGACCCCAATCCCTCCCCTCCCACCCCCGCCCCCCAAAAAAGTGTCTCTGGTTCATAGTTTTTTGTTGATTTTGATTTTCACTTTCTTATAGTTATTCATTTTCCTGGTCCCTTATTTAAGTTTTCTAGATTCCTGCTATGAGTGAGACCATCTGGTATTTTTCTTTTTCTTTCTGGCTTATTTCGCTGAGCATGATCCCTTCCAGCGCCATCCATGTTGCTGCAAATTGCATGTGTTTATCTTTTTTGAATGCTGAGTAATATTCCATGGTATATATGTACCACATCTTCTTGATCCAGTCATCTATTTTTGGGCATTTGGGTTGTTTCCAAAGCTTAGCTATTGTAAACAGTGCTGCTATAAACATAGGGGTGCAGGTGTTCTTTGGAATTGATGTTTCTGTGTCCTTTGGGTAAATACCTAGGAGTGGAATTGCTGGATCATATGGAAGCTCTATGTTTAGTAGGTCCAGAAATCTCCACACAGCTTTCCACATTGGTTGGACCAGTTTGCACTCCCACCAACAGTGCAGAAGAGTTCCTTTTTCTCCACACCCTCGCCAGCATTTGTTGTTGCTAGTTTTTTTAATATGTGCCATTCTCACTGGTGTAAGATGGTATCTCATGGTAGTTTTCATTTGCATTTCCCTGATGGCAAGTGATGTTGAACATTTTTTCATATGCCTGTTGGCCATTTGCATTTCCTCTTCAGAGAAGTTTCTTTTTAGCTCTTCTGCCCATTTTTGGACTGGATTATTTTCTTTGTTGTTGTTGAGTCTCATCAGCTCTTTGCAGATTTTTGTGATCAGTCCTTTATCATTAGTGTTGGGTGCAAAAATGTTCTCCCAGTTGGTGGGGTTTCTCTTTGTTTTTGTTATTGTCTCTTTTGCTGTGCAGAAGCTCTTTAATTTGATGTAGTCCCAGCTGTTTATCTTTGCCTTCACTATCACTGCTTTGGGTGATGTGTCTGTAAAGATGTCTTTGATGTGCAAATCACGTAGTGTTTTGCCTATATTTCCTTCTATATATTTTATGGTTTCAGGTCTTATGTCTAGTTCTTTAATCCATTTTGAGTTGATTTTTGTGTATGGTGTGAGGTAGTGGTCAAGCTTCATTCTTTTGCATGTAGCGACCCAGTTTTCCCAGCACCATTTACTGAACAAACTTTCTTTGCTCCAATGCATAGTCTTTGCTCCTTTGTCAAAGATTAGTTGACCATAAATCTGTGGGTTTACTTCTGGATTTTCTATTCGATTCCATTGGTCTGTATGTCTGTTCTTGTTCCAATACCATGCAGTTTTGATGATTATGGCTTTGTAGTATAGTTTGAAGTCTGGGAGTGTACCAGATGCCTTTTTAAAAAAATGTTCTCTTTCAAGTGCATAGCAGTTTTGAGAGATCAAATGGCATGGGTATGTGTGAATTTCATAGGGAAGAGGTACTATTACATCCCTTTCAGTGCAGTTCATCTGCTTACTTAGGTATGTTTTATAGGTATTTGGTGGATGTACTTGTATACTGGGTGCTGCAAAAGAGCAGAAAAAACAAATTCAAGATTCAATTCCTGCTTGTAATCTAGTTGGAAGGTCATTGTGTGTCCAGTGGCTTCCCTAGGCCTTAAACTGAATAGTCCCAGACCAAAGATGGTTTGTATTCTGTGGAGTGAGGCATGCCTACACAGCCCAGAGTCCATTCAGAGAATAAATGAACAAAGAGGGAAATAGTGCTTAGACTTCCCTCAAGTATTTTAGCAAATCTCTACCCTAAAGCTATAAAAGAAAACAAAAAATTACTAAAATCTTAAGGCTCTAGGAAGTACATATTGAAATATACAGACTTAGAGATCACGGTAAGCTTTGCCAAATTCAGAATTGCCAAACCACCAGGAGCACCATGTGGACTGTGTGAGTGGGTGGCAAAGTAGCAAATAAGTGTCCTTATGAGCAAATGTAAAATATTGATTGCACTGGGCCTAAGAGAATCCAAAGTGTACATGAGGGGGGAGAGACTGCTAGAGGAAAAGGAGCTTTGTGCTTTATAAACAAGCTTATAAAGAAATTTGGAGCTTTCCCCAAAGCATTTCTCATCATTAGAAAAAGTATTGGTAACAAAACGAGGCATTTACATGGGCTGTCTCCACAGCTGGAATATTCTGGTTGTTACACCTTAAGACATGTTAGAAAAGAAAAAGCAGATGATGGAAGTGAACAGGGAGAGGTCCCTGTCACCAGTAAGGCTAAGCTGATGTTATTTTGGTCTAGACCAAGACAGTCACTAAGGAGTGAATGACTGAAGTCTGTAAACCTCTTTATATTTGAATAAGAGGACCCCTAGAAATGTAGCTGGGACAAATTTTTATATATACACGCTATTTGGGGGCAAAGTCAAGAACCTTTTACTCTAGTGAGTGAAACCAGGGGAAAAAATACAACTTTTAAAAGTGCCTTATAAATCCATGCTATTAGAACCATCATGTCTTATTAAAGTTAGAAATGTGTAAGGTTACATTGCTAATTAAGGATAGGACCAAGAAATTTCCTCTGCCATCTGACCACAACTGCTTTGGTGCCACTCACAAATAATGTTGGGGGCTGGGGGCTCGCTATGGCACAGTGCACGTGCATGGCCATGTTTTCCCCTTTCATCTCTGAAAAATCTTTTAAGGATTTTGATACTTCATTTATACATTTGGGAGTAGTTCCGCTTATAAAATTGTTTCTGTAAATAACACTGATAACATTATAATGTAATTTGTTCATTGTTGCACATCAGTGACCAGAACTTGTGTTAATATCCTTTTTAATTTTCCCTTTTGGGGGTTTCTTCTTTCAAAATTATTAACTTAGAGCAAAAGCCACCGAAATTTCAAAAGAGTCAGTGGTTGTCCATTAATAGAGGCAAGTACCATAACCCAAGGTTCCTCAGGCCCACAGTGCTCTACATGCATACACATGTACAGAACTCAAGGGAGAGAGTGATACATATATATGTACATACACACATACACACAAACACACACATATACATAACCATAATGCCCTAATTTCTTTCTTGGTTAAAAGAAATTTGCTTCAGGGAAGTCATGGAGATAGTGAAATTGCATTGTACTGGACTATGGAGTCGGGAGACTTGGATTCTAACCCTATACCCCTCCTTATAGGGTCTCTCTGAACTCGGCCTTTGGTGCTTTTTTTCTTTGTCAAAGAAATGAAAGATGAATTAGCAGGATTCAGAAATGGAGGTTCATAAGCCTATTTCTTCTGCCAGACTGTTGTGTTAATTTAGTATTTGAAAGAAATTTGAATTTCAACATTTAGAGAAGAGTGCCGCCTCCAGGTCACTGCCGGCTCCACTGCTCTCCCTCTTGGGTTTTTGTTTGTTTTTTTTCACTTCCTGGCCTCTCCAGGCTCCTGTTAAGCAGTAATAATTGGACTGGCTGTTGGATTAGGTATGTTTAATGTATTAATTCTGTTTTGTTTTGTTTTTTACTGCTTGTCTCTCCCTTTCTTGAAGATTTGTAGAAGATAAAATGTGGGTTACATTTTTGGAGGGGAGCTCTGCCTTGAGCGTTCTAAGCCTAAATGGTAAAGAGGTAAGGTAGCATTTGTTCATTCTAAACCATTCTGAAACTAAGTGTCTGAAGATTAAGTTTTTGTTGATACTCAGCAAGATTATCTAAATGCATTTCAAGTTCAGGAAGATGGAAGACCTTATGGTACATTTATTGTTTAGACTAGGCTTCTGACTTTCTGACCAGTTTAAAATTATTTTGTTCCCTCCGTGGAGATATTAATCATTCATGTAGACCACAAAGAAGACATGTTTGCCACTTAATTTGATTTTTGTTACATTTTATTATATAAAAACTTTAACAGTTTTAATTGGGATATTTCGGTTCATCTATGTATTAGAAAAGATTTGTGTCAAGTAAAGAAAATGTCTATTTACAAGAAAATAAGGGAAGAAGGTGCTCATTATTAGAAATAGTAATTGTTTTAGTAGCATGGATCACGGCCTTTTTCAAGTATAGGTAAAATAATTCCACTAAGATAATAAATCCTTTCCACTGAGTCATTTGAGAAATTTTAATTAGTGGAAATATTCCTGATCTATGATTTGTGTCATTGATGGGGGGAATCTGATCAATATCTTAGAATAGTTTTATTTCTATAAAGTGCTTAGTCTGCCCTTTTTTTCCTGAATGCTTTTAGACAACCCTAAGTTTGTAAGTATGTGGTCGCTGGCAGGATGGACTGAAATCCTTTGGGCAACTCCATGAGGATTTTCCTGAGCTGCTGCTTCTGTCACAGTACATCAATGTCCTTAAATAAAAAATTTCCACATATATATTGCTTTGAAATAGGTTTTGGAGGATTTTGTTTTTCCTGAAAGTAATAGTTATACACTCATGCAAACATAAATCCAAAAATGTAGAAAAGCGTAAATACAGAAAAGTACTATATTATATTCCCCCTTCCTTTCAGCCCTATTCTTTTTTTTTAAAGAACTTTTTTTTTTAGATTTATTTTTTATTTATACAAGAGCTGGGGTACAAGCCAGAGGCGCAGGAGGGTGAGAGGATTCTCCAGAGACAGAGTGGGTTGCAGAACAGGCAGACAGACCGAAAGCACTGCTGAAGGGGAGCAGCGGGCACAACAGGAGAGGTCTGCTGCGCCATGTGGGACTCTCCCTGGCCGGCCAGGAATTGAACCCTCACTGCAGAGGCTGCGGACAGCTCCACAGCGCTGTGCTCAACCCACTGCGCCACCGGGGAGGCCCTCAGCCCATTCTTCACCCTCAAGTCTAGTCTGATATGTCAGTCTGGTCACCTCTTTACCATTCCCTGGAGAAGCACCCGCCCTTCTCTCCCTTAAAACATCTTCAGAATCCTGAAGCTGTAAAGCTCCAGTTTGTGACAAGTTTATAATAATGTGCAATTTGTCCTTTTGAAAGTATTTCCAACCCTCTTGTCTGTGGCTTTTGTTAGTACCATTGTTCATTGCAAAATCTTCTAACGTGCAGATAGATCAAAAAGATGGCCTCCATTTCAAGGGGGAACCTGAGAACAGTACACAGCTTGAGCAGGACAAACCTAGAGGGTGATCTTGAGAAATTTTTGTCATTTCTTTCTCTTGTGGCTCTGATGTCACCAAATAGACATTCCTGAGAAAGTGCATCTCAAATTAGCTTGTGGTGATTGGAGTGTCAGAATACCTGTTACTATTCTCTGATGAATACACAAGGAATGTTGTTGACTTTAAATAGTAACAACCTGTAAAGCTCATTGCCAAGTTCTGAAATTGAATTGATCTGGTCTGATAGCAAGTAAAGGATTATTAGTTCTTAGGACTCTGACTACAAAGCTCAGTATCGACACTAAATCACTATTAAACACAGCCACACCATTCAGCATCTCTCAGTCCCTCCTATGCCTTCATGGATTTCTAATGTTAGTAGCACTTTTAGCCAAGAAAGATCTATACCCACAAAGGTGCCGGCTGATCATAGCTACACAGCTGGTCATAGCTACACAGTTCATTTGTAAAGACCAGAAAAGTCCACATATTGTATATTCCCCAGACACCAGTCGAACAAAGGAAGCTTTAAGGTATAAAGAAAGACCCTCTGAGACCCTCAGTAGGGAGATACTTGCACAAAATAAGGTGTCTGTGTCTTCCTCATTCCTACCTCGCTCCACTTTCCCTCAGCCCTCCGAGAGAAAGAGAAAAAACTTCACTGACTCCGTCCTCTCCTTTCTGAGATCCCTGACACGACTTATAGCTGGGGCTGGTCTCCAGCAAAGCTGGCTCTGTGTGGGAGGAAGCTTCCATTCTAGAAAGCAGTTTTGTCATGTAGATTTTAAATGCAAGCAGCTTTCTAATGCATAGTCTGTGTTTGGCCAAGGAGTCCTGTGCATCTGCAAGTTTTTTGTGACTATCTGCTTGACAGATAATATAACTTGACTATAACGTGTGGATTGTTTTAGGTCATACTTCGTTCTAAAAGCTGCTTAAATTTATAGGAGAGTACCAGTTTCACAGATACTAATCATTGTTTTCAGAATGGTTAACTTTTATTAAAGACTTTAAATGACCCTAAATACTCTCAGTATTCCTCTGACATTTGAAATGCTAAAACTACTTAGAAAGTTGAGAATTTCAAGACCGTTACACTAAGCTAGGAAGGTCCAAATGATCAAGATTTTAAAGATTTCCCACTGTCTTTTCTGGAGTTGTTTTTCGTAGGAATAATTATTTAATCTGTTGGTCAGAAAGCAAGTATAAAATTATGTGTCAAAATGTCAATGAATTTTTATCTGATATGGGTAGATACTACAGTGAGGTAAACTTGAATCTCTGTATATTATAGCGGTGGGGATAGATCTTAGACTTCATGTCCAGGTGTTTAAGGGGAGAACTGGAGTGTTTGAAGTGGTTAAAAATTCAGTATATGTAAAACAGTTGTGGTGAATTGAGTCACGTTAAATTAAACCAATATTGTCGCATAGTATAACTAAGGCAGTTCATTTTGAAATGGGTTAATATTCATACCAATGTTTCCAATTCTGTGTCTCTTCTGCTCAACTAGTTATTGGGTCGAACCATAACTATTACTTTAAAAAGTCCAGACTGGATCAAAAATTTGGAAGAAGAAATGAGCTTGGAGAAAATCGGCGCTCCACTGCCGTCCTCCACGAGCTCCACCCTCCTCGGTGAAGATGCGGAGGTCACAGCTGACTTTGACATGGAAGGTCAGTCATTGAGCACATTTGTTTCAGTCATTCTCGATAACTTACCCTCCATCAGTAAAATCTTAGTCTCCAGGTTTATCTTTCTCTCTCTCTACCATTTACTTATAGAAATTATATATTTCAAACCATTAAAAAAAAAAACCCTCTCAACGTGGCTAGGAATGCCTGCATTCACAGCAGACCCCACCACATAAATGTAACCACTTCACATGTAACTTGGGCACATTGTCTGTGTACAATAATTTCCTTAAATGTAATTAGGAAATGCACTTACTTCTAATATAGACTGTTAGTTTAGAATATGTTAGCCTAGAGTATTTTCCATTAAAATGAATCTTAGTTTATAAAATGACAGTGCATCAGTCTGTGACCCAGGTACACGTTTACTAGTTGAGCATCTTACAGGATTATCTCCAGTTTCCACATTCTTCTGTTCACTTGTGTACTTAGTCCACATGTTTATGTAGACCCTGGTATGTGCCAGGGGACACCAGGTGTTGCTGTTGCCATCTTAGGGCGCACAGCTCAGCGAGCAGGTGGTCTAGTCCAGAGTGGGAAATGCAGTAAGAACGATGCTGTGGGTGTTAGAAGGTCACCTCACCTAGACTAAAGAAGTTGAAAATTATGGAAATTATGGAAATGGAAATTTAAGTTAAGAATTTGAAGCCTGAGTAAGAATTGGGTTAAAGAAGGTGAAGAGGGGTAAACCAGGAAGAAGGAAAGAAAGTATAGGATGAAGGGGCTAGACGGGTCTGAGGTGATTAAGAAGGTATGTTTGCGAGGGAGTAAGTGAAGAAAAAGAAATGTAGGAAGAGGAGCAGGGGAGGGCTGGAAGGTGAATTTGATTTTGAGGATGTTAAACTTTTGGAGTCTCAGGTGTGGATTAGGCTGTGGGTATGTGGGCCTGGTGCTGGGCACAGCCCAGTTCACTGGCAACTGTCGTGGCAGTTAAACCCACTTGACCAGAGGGATTATACAGAGATGGGGGAAAGCTGGTATTGGGCTCCAATACAGAGAAGTGCAGGCCTAACACATAAGAAGCAGAAGTGGTCTGTTCATAAAAAGAAAATGAGAAGAAGCAACTAGAAATGCAAGGAGCCAGGAGAATATAGTGGCTTAAAAATCCAGGAAAGAAGGGTGGCATGGAAGGAGTCACCAGTATGTTTTTGTCAGAGAGAGATGAAAGATGAGGCTGCAACTTCTCTTTTGGATTTAGTAACAGAAGGAGGCTGTTAGTGACATTTATGAGAGTCATTTCTATGGAGTGAGGAAGCCAGGTGGTGGTAAATTGAGGTGTGTTTGGAAGGTGAAATGGAAAGTAACTACAGACAGCTCTCTATAGAAGCTTGGCTAAGACTGAGGGGAAAGAGGGACAAGAGCAGTCACTCTAGGGAGCCTGGGGATGCAGGGAGTTCGGTTTTGAAGTGGGAGAAACTTGAGGATGCTTAGCGCTGATAGCAGGGGCTGGTAGAGGGCAAAAAAAAGTGATGATATTGGGCAAGGCAGGTCATGGAGAGAGAAGGATGGGCAGAGCTTCATTGGTCTCACAAATGCATGTGTGTGTGTGTGCCTTGCCTTATGACTGAACTCCCGCCCTGCGCCAGCCATGAAGAGGAGGTTCCCATCCTACCTCTTCTCTTTTCTGGGTGAAGTTTAAGAGTTGAAGGTATCTGTAGAAGGGGGGCGATCCATGATTTTAGGAGAGTTGAAAAGGTTCAAGGCATAGCTCCTGTGAAAGGCTCAGGGCGAGCACTACCCAGGAAGTGGTGGAATTGCGGCAGCTTTGGGAGCCCAGGGGAGACTGCAGACCACAAACTTTCCTGACTGCGGTCAGCAGTGACTGTCCAGGTCTCTCTGGCAGCAGCGCTTAGCAGCCTGGACACAGTTACAGAGAGACGAGACAGCTGCCTTGGTGCGGAATTGACAAGAGGACCAGTGTGGTGGGGGTGGCTGAGGTGAGACCCCTAGAGGCTGAAGACAGGTCCTGAGGCATAACCTGGTCAAGGTTAAAAGTAGAGGGTACAGAGATCTGGGTCCTGATGAAGTCAAAGAGGAGAGAGTAACTGAGGGAGACAACTGAAAGGCTGGGAGGGGTTGGTCAGAATGACGTATTTTGAGCTCATTTCAGAGGTCATGCCATTCTGAGGGGTGTATGTGTTTGGAGTGGAGGAGAGTGTCAGTGTCGAAAGACCAAGGCACTTGGTGATGGGTTGTCCGCATGGACTTTGATGTCACCTGGAAAGAAGATAGGACTTACATCTTGCTCTCTGCTTAGTCCTTGATGAATGGGTTCAAGTGCCTGGAAGGATGGAGATTGGAGATTATGACAGCAGAGGGATAGAGGGTGCTAATTAAATTCTTGATGGGATGATTTACTGTTCTGGAATTGGAATTAGGTTGCACGGGGCAGGGTCGGCTTTCCAACCCTGAGGTAAGGAGACTTCAGGGGAGAAGCAAAGAAAGTTTGCGTTGGGTGGGGGCAGCACCACAGCAAGGATGGAGAAGGGGTGTAGCTGGCTGAGAGCCTGTTTGCTCTTGAGGGTGAACCTGAGTTGAGGGCAGGGGGCAGAGACAGTTCCACAGAGCAGGAAGGAAGGTTTAGTGGACTTCAAGGCAGTCAGCTCTGAATCAGCCGCACCTAGCAGGTCTCTACCTGCATCCTTGTTGCCCCAAGGTAATAAGTATCTGTAATATATTTTTTATCAGAGTATTTGTACTAACTCTAGGGTTTTTTTTTATTTATTTAAAGGGCAGATTTATTAGAAAAGGGATAGGATAGTAAAAGACACTTGCATAGACACCAGCGGGCAGGAAGAGGTGCCCCAAAAGGGACAGGTTTGCTAAGAGAGGCCTGCATGGTCGCAGGTGGGCGGCCTTGAGAAGAGCGGCCTCCACTGAGGGAGGTCAGTGAAGAAAAGTCCCGGTAGGTACAGGTCACAGGCAGGCAGGAAGCTGCTGCCCTGATGAGGGAGAGAATTGGTGAAAGGAAGCACCTGCATAGTCACAGGTGGGCAGACGAAGTGCTGCTGTACTAACTCTAGTTTTACACATGAAAATATTTCATATGTGCCAACATGCTTAATCTGTGCACATTTGCAGTGCAATGTTAACATGTTTATTTTGTATATTTAACCCCTTCAAACCAGGAAAAACTAGGTTGATGAAAAATATCTCAGAAAATTAAATTGATGGTCTCTGTGGTAACCTTGTGTTTCCTTAGGTGATGTTGATGACTACAGTGCTGAAGTTGAGGAAATTCTTCCTCAGCATCTCCAGCCATCCTCAGGTTCTGGCCTTGGCACTTCCCCGAGCTCTTCACCCCGGACCAGTCCCTGCCAGTCACCTACAATATCAGAGGGTCCTGTACCTTCCCTTCCCGTAAGACCAAGCCGAGCGCCATCAAGAACTCCCGGGCCCCCAGCTTCACAAAGTGTGTATCTTATTGAAAGTTCGGTATGACTTCCCTTGGCCTGTGGCGTTTCATTTTAGATGGTCAAAGCTCTGGTGCCTCCAGAGAGCCATTTTTGTTTAACTTTCACACACATGCACTGAACACTGAAGTGTGCCATGTTTTCTATGCTTACAAAAGAGGGCTGTCTGTCCTAGGTGGAAGGGCAGCCTGTCATTACTGTCACTACATGACGTGCTCCTTCTCTGTGGTCAGGTTTGTCAATGTCTTACACTTCATGATTTTCTGTCATTGTAAATCATAACTGTTTAGCCTGAACTATATATAATCTGTTAGATAACTATATATAATCTTAATATAAGCTGTACATTACCTGTGTTACAGTATCAAGCGAAAGAGGCAAAACAAATTTTTGAATTGAAATTTATAGTCTTGGTTTGTCTCTGGAAGTTGTTATCAAGTGATTTAATCACCATCCCATGCTGTCCAGCATCTTCAGAAAATACCTTCCATTTCATAAACATCCCTATTCTCCATACTACTCTTACAGGGCTGGCTTCATTAAATAAATTCAAGAATAGCTAGGGGATAGAGAAAAGACACTCATTCCTTTTTCTCCTCTCTGTTGGCCAGCAAAATGCACATAATTCAGATAGTACTTTGTGCCGTCTTGATAGGGCCGCTTGGTAAATCAGCTTTCAGTCCCTGGGGGCCTTGTAGGAAGTCCACAGGGCTAGCATTATCACCTCCATGTTCCAAAGGGTAATTGAGTGGTAGAACTTGAGTGCTTGTGCTACAGATACCAAAAATGCATGCTATTATACTCACTGTAGTTCAAATTTAGAAAAGTAGCAGAGAGAGAGTTTATCATAGGAAATACCATGCCTTTGTGCTCACACTACTCGCTTGGAATCTGATCTTACATAATGTGCTTTTTCAGGTTCTCCTGTTGATGCCCTGCCAGCAGCACAACTGCAGCAGAAAGATTCCTCCCAGGCCTTAGAACCCAAGCGCCCCCCTCCTCCCCGCCCAGGTGCTCCACCTGCACGTCCTGCTCCCCCACAGAGACCACCTCCACCTTCAGGTAACAAACCATTCTGTTTCCATTTCTGCCAGATCAAAAATCTTCCTCATTAAATTGAAAAATGATTTGCATGTTTTCAAGCCCTTAGCTCCTAGATTTTACTATATTTATGTTATTGCTGCTGCTTCCTCAGCTTTTCTCTAAAGAACAGTATAGGTGCAACAGAATAGGCAGAGATTTTCCCAACTGGATTTCTGTAACACATTCATTCTCACAGCTGCCTTCTTAGAAGAAGTTGGCTTTGGTTTTGCTAATTTGATGTAGCTGTGCTGATTTCTGTAAAATGTATAATTAGACCTGAAGAACTTATTTACTATAAAGTTTCATGTATTTGTCCAGATGTCCTTTTTAAATAAGTAGAGTGTTGTTAAATCATTAGAAATATTTTCTTTAAATAATAGCTTTTTCAAAATAGTATCAAGATACTGATGTGTATAATATTAGACATCCTGAATTCTATTAAATCTTTGACATTTCAATTCTTGTTTAATGTCATTTCCTTTCTGCTGCGTATTTGCTTATGAACGATAAGGGGCTAGGAGTCCTGCACCTGCTAGAAAAGAGTTTGGAGGTAACTGTTTATATTTTTGTGATATGTTAGCGTTGATTCATTGATGTTTTGGAGTTTGATCCCTATAACTGAAAGACATTTTTGGTTTCAGTTGATAACAGTCAAAAAGAATGACATTTATACACCAAGGTAATAATAGTGCCAAATTTCAATTGTATTTTCTTTAAAAAGATTAAAAACCAGTTTTATAGGTGAATAGAACTGATGAGGCCTTCCATTTCTCAGTGGACATAGTTGAATTACTCATCAAGGCCCAGTGTACTTTTTCTTAATACAGTCAGTTTGGTGACAAAGAGTTAATTCCCAGAAATCATACTGATTTCAGAAGGGATTCGGGTTCAGTGAATATACATTTCCCAAGTATTTAATTGTATTAGATTGTATTAGAACTCTAGTATGTTCCTTTTCTGGTAGCTTGTGGGTTAGCAAAATTTCCTAGGAATGCAACTTAAAGTTATAATAATTATCTGAAACACAGCTTTCATTTTGCATGGCTTTATCATAACATCCTAAAACTCATATCTCATTTTAATATAAGAATTCTTTTTTTTTTTTTTTTACTCAATAAGGGCTTTTATTTAAGCAAATGGATTGCTTTTTTTAAAAAAAGTGTAGTATGCTCAAAAAACTTCTCACAAACCTCAGTTGGAAGTATATATATATCAATATCTGACAAGCTTATCTAATTCTCAAAAAAGAGTGAGGTGGTTATCAGAGCTCCACCGCTGAGCTTTTACAAACCTGGCTTAGCAGTATCACGGCTCACTGTACATGTATGAATTGGTCTGTGTCTCCTCCAGCTGCCCCATAAAATTGCTGACCAATTTACATGTTACTGTAAATTGAAGTGACCTGGATGCAGATTTTAATGATTTTGTACAATAAGGGATGCTAACCATTATTTCAGCATTATAGCTTCTGCAAAATACTGCTAGATGATAATTTTCCCATTGATTTACAGATAACATTAATTTTTCCCATTTCAAACTCCTTTATATTTATATGATAAAATCACTTTATCTCCTTTAATTACGAAAACAATTTGTGGAAAACAAATTTTTGAATTGCAGAAAAGTTGTATTAGCAATACAATGGCTTACATAGAAATCTGATTTACTTTTTAATTATTGCTTCTTTTCATCATTCTGTGGGTTGTACTTGAAGCATAATTTTTAACCCTATAAACCAATACTTTAAGTAGTGTCTTAGAGAAGTCATTATAGTACTTTTGGAGTTTGGTCTTTTTTTTTTTTTTTTTAATAATGCATCAAAAACTACTAAGACACTAATATAGTCCCTTAGGAACTTAAAATCAAATTGAAACTTTATGATTTTATTTTCCTTTTTGACTGTCAAATATTGGAGCTTGTATTAGTGATTTAAACTAGATGTAAGGAATTAGAAGATCATAAAACAAAGGCACTCATTATATATATTTTAAATTCCCTACTGCTAGAATCTCAGATATAAAAAGCAAACTGTCACCCCATCTACTTTTCTGTTTAAAGAAAAAGGGAACTCATGTTTGAACTAGGCATCCAAAGTCACTGTGGTCTGTGTTGATATCTTTGAAGAAATTTAAAACAGTAAAAGAACCTTTTTACAGAAGTAAGTTAATGCAGAAATTGTGTTGTGTGCCTGCCATTCATTCTGTGCCATGGGCCCTGAACACTATACAGCTTCTGTTCTTTCTCTGAAAAGGTCTTGGAGCCCCTCCCAGTCCTGGGGTAGCTAGGCGAGAGATGGAAGGTAACAAGACTTTTGCATCATGAAAATGGATCTCTCATTTTATTTCTAAAATGTCGGCCCCTCCAGTGTTTAAGAGCATACTAAATCTTATTCCAACTGTAAACTTCCTCTCCCTTACCTTATGTATACTTTGTGGCCTTGTATTTTTTTCTTTTCATTCTGTATTGTATATAATTTTTAATATATACTGTTTAATTTCTCTGAGGCTTTTATGATGTTGTTGTGTGCTGTTTCTGTATGTACTTAGGGTGTGAAATTACTCTACAACGTTATTTTATGGAGAATGCCTTCAAAATTCTTTTCAGAATTTTGAATAGGTCAGGGCTTCCCTGGTGGTGCAATGGGTTAAGTCTCAGCGCTATGAAACTATCCGCATGGCACAGCAGACCTCGCCTATCTCTCCTGCCACTCCCCTCACTAGTGTATTTCAGTCATTCCGCCTGTTCTGCTCCCTACTCTGTCTCTGGTGAATCCTCTCACCTTCTTCCCCCACACCTCTAGCCTATACCCCAGCTCGTGTATGCATAAATAATCTTTAAATAAAAAGGTCAAATGTTTAGAAATGTACAATACTAGCTAAGAAGTTGTAAAGATTAATGACTACAATTAATTCCTATTGAGATCCAAGAATATAACATTTTTGTGGATAATTTCTGATAACAGAGTATTTTTATGTGTAAAGGTGAACTGAATTTGATTGAGAGAGCATACATCAAGATCCTAACTTTGAAGGGCTGATGGAGTCCCTATAGCAATCACATTGACATATCTTTGCACATGGCTGAGTCTGAGGTGCTGCCCTTAACATATCCCCTAGTTCTTTTGGCCTCCAAAACCAATTTATTTCATTTTATCCTTCTGCTGCCTCTCTAATGGGCTTGGTCCATATTTCTACACTAGTCTTCCACAAGGCATATTAAAGATGTGCCTATCTTCTACTTTAATCATTTTTTGTTGTAGAAATCCCAAAGATCTTATAAGTTTGTGTTATCCACAATGGCATGTATCCGCAGCATGTGCCCCTAAAATGTCAGGATCCTCTGGTGTAACTTAGAAACGTAGCTCTGCCTGTTGCTCAGAAGCAACTTGTCTGCTGAGCTCTGAGAAGCACTGGTGCCACATCTATGACCATGCTTACAGCTGACCAGATGTTTTGAAGGTTCACAGGAGAGAGCTTTGTTGAGAAAGTCACCTTAAAATTAACCCTGTGAGGGAGGTATCAGACTGCGGACTAAGACGGTCTCCAGTAAATGTCCCTAGAGAGTATTCTAATTTTTCTCTCTTTTGAGGTATTTCATTCAGAACTAATACTACCCTTCATCATTATCCAAACAAAGTCCTTTTGTTCCCATCTCATGCCCTCATTTCTGCTGGTAATCAAAAAGAATAACCAAGCAATGTTATGCAGTAGCACTTTATTGTGTCCTTAAGACTAATTTTTTTTTCTTCCTACTTCAAAGCCCCCAAAAGTCCTGGAACGACCCGGAAAGATAATATAGGTAAAAACACTTGCATTTAGCTACTTTACCTTAAAACTGGACGATGAATAGACACTTGGAATATTAGTATATAGTTTCTTTCTATTTTAAAAAATCCTAAATACACATTGTGGTGTCTTTGTTGCAGGACGCAGTCAGCCTTCACCCCAAGCAGGACTTGCAGGCCCAGGACCTGCTGGATACAGTGCGGCCAGACCGGTAGGCAACACTTAGCCTGGGAGCCAAAAGGTTCAGGTTCTAGGCCCCAGTTTGCTACGTCAGGTGTGTTTTCTTGGAGAAATTAAATGACTCATCAAGGCCTCAGTTTCCTCAACGTAAAATGAGGCAATTGCACTTGATGATCTCCAAGGTACCTTTCAACTCTGACATTATTTTAACATACTCTCTGAGAATAGCTCAACATGCTTCATTATTTGAATAAAAGTGGTGTGCTAAAGTAATCATGGTCCTAAAATAAATATCTTAGAATCTTAAGTATTTGAAGAGGTGATATATTTGGGCAACTTTTTATTCATTGCCTGAGTGATTAATGAGGATATAAACTCATCCTTCAGTAAGAAGGATTTAAAACTTAGATTTTAGGGGAGAAGGCATTATAGAATCAGTATATTGAAAATGCCCTACAGGGATTAAAATTAGACAGATGATGGTGTTTGGGAGCTTTGCTTGACCCTTGCGTGTCTTGGTTTTCTGTATGTTTATCATTTATGTTCTCTTATCATTAGTCACGTAGTTATTCTGTTCTTTACCCAAATGAAAAATTTCTGAGATATAACAAGTAGTAAAAAAGAAAATGGAAACCAGAAATCAGTGATTTAGCTAAAAATACACTCTTCACCACTGTGTCTTTTAGTGTATTTCATTCTTAGCGTACTGAGTTAGTCATTCAAGTGTTTTTACTTCTGTGTTTAAAAAAAACAAACAACTCAAGGTGTGGTTTCTCTTAAGCCTCTTAGCTGGTCAGTGTACAGCTTCCTCTGTCCCTCAGTCCTTCATGCCATCGCCAGCTCCCACAGAGCACTGCACATGGTGACGCACACGGCCTGCAGCTGTTCAGGCCTGAGTTTTGATCCTATACTTGCTTCTAGCTTTGTGGCCTTGGGAAAGGTGTCTCCATTATTTTAGCTTAATTTAAAAAAAGAAGAAGAATACCTCTGAGGGATATTTTGAAGATGAAATGCCCATCCAGTGCTTAATTAACATAGAGCCTCACATAGAATAGTCAAAAATGAAAAGGAAGGTTGGAAAACTTGTGACTGTATGATTGTAAGTAGAATGCAATTAAAAGGACAAGAGGAGCAATCTAACAGAGGAGATTAAATAATACGCAAAAGCAAATATTTCCATAAAATCTTACCTGTTGAAATGAGTGAATATCTCAAATGTTCCATTTCCCATTTGTAGACCATTCCGCCCCGTGCTGGTGTGATCAGCGCCCCACAAAGCCAGGCTCGGGCCTCTGCTGGAAGACTGACTCCCGAAAGCCAAAGCAGACCGTCGGAAGTACCGAAAGGTAAACTATTAGAAACACCTTCTGTTCTTTGTTCTCTCTTTTCACTTTTTCTTTTCCTTTTCCCTTCTATCATGTCTCACCTTCCACAACTTAATCATATAGGAATCTTCTTGCTGATTTAAACTGTAAGAAATGAGGCTACTTGTTGAGACAGAAAACCCACAAATCCTGAATCTCCTAGCATTTCACCAATGGAAGGACAAAACATGGTTTTCTAGAAAAAACTTACATCTGAAAATGATTTTCTTTTAGGTTCGGCTTTTCTTCCGGAACCACTGAAGCCTCAAGCTGCCCCTCCTGTGCAGCCTTCTCTGCCCTCACCCGTTCAGAAGATGCAGGAACCTCTGGTCCCAACGGCAGCACCTCTGCCTCAGTCTGGCCCCCAACCAATTCTGGAAACCCCCCCTCAGCCACCACCTCGCAGCAGATCTTCCCACAACTTGCCTTCAGAACCTTCATCACAACCACAAGTAAGTCCCACAAGTAAACAAAAGACCATCTTTGATTCTTTGGTATAGGCTTTGAACATATTTCAATTATTAACTTATATAAGGATAAAACAAATGTGGAAAAAAAAATTTCATCTTCTTTTCCTTTTGCCTTTTGGTAATAGTAGCATCTTGAGATGTGACTTCAACAATCGGGTGTCATTTGATGTCTCCACTAGCCACGTAGCAAATGTACAATTTGATTGTTTGAGGGTTTGTTTGTTTTTAAATAACCTATTATCTAGATCAATTAGAGAGTGATCCTAAATTAGCGTTTTCAAAGAATTTCTAAGTGACTCCCAGACTCTTTTATCTTGTTAACATTTAAAGTATTTGTGAATTTCTTACAGTTTTTATGTGAAATTTACTTTGAAGAGTTGCTAAATTAAGATGAACAAGAATGGTTGTTTTTCTTATTGTTCATAGTTAGTGAGTTAGTTTTGGTTTTCACTTTCTGGAGAGAGGCAATTAGATCATGGCCTGAACTTTGGGTTAATTTCCTATGAGCAGAGAAAATCCTTTTGTTCCTCTTTTTTTTTTAATATAGAAGAACTGGGTTGTAGGCCAGAGTTTTGAGGGGTGAGGATTCACCAGAGATAGAATGGGGAGCAGGACAGGCAGATTTACTGAAATACACTGCTAAGGGAGCAGTGGGTGAGACAAGAGAGGTCTTCTACGCTGTATGTGAGTCAGCATCCTGGCCAGCTGGGGAAGCAACTCAGGCCTTAGTAGTGATAGTACTGAGACTTAAACCCTAGGCCACCAGGGAGGCCTCTTTTGTTCCTCTTGATGCTGACAATAGTTCCTTGCTGTGGTGAAGCTGGTGTTTCCTGAGTAGTTAGTCATTATTAGATCACTTTGGATGGTTTGGGCTTGCAGCAGTAGGGTTATTCACCAAAGTAAAACCGTGAAAATAATGTCCCCTCATTAGCATCACACAAAGCAGCACTTTGCCTTAGTGAATGGAAATCATGGCATCTCTGGACTTTGGTTATACCAGAGTGATCTCACATTGGGATATAAATCCAACATTTAACTACAGAGTTTATAATGTAGGGATAATCATGCAAGGTAGACTTATATTTTACCGAGATGGTGTTTTAGTCTTGTTATGTACATTTCAGTAAAATGATGTGACAGCTGGCAGTGTGAGGACAGCACACAGAAAGCCTCATGCCCCAGATCTACTTAACACCCCCCCCACCTATACACACACACACACACACGCCTCAGTGTACCCCACTTACATGCTCCTGTCCAGTGCTGAAGCCCATTGTATAACTATGAGCTTATCGAGAAAGGATTATCTTAAACTCAGGAGTCTCCTGTTTAGTAGGCAGGAAACTCCCTAATACTTAATATTTTTGGAATGGTGTCTCTAAATTGTCAAAATTAGTTTTGGTATTTTTAAAATAATCTATTTTTTATAAAATAATTTATTGGATATTGAAAAAGATTTGCACAAAACTGTTCCTTGAGAATACTGCATTTTAAAAAACACTGCTATATTATAGGAAAATTTTTATTCATTTAACAAAAATAAGATCTAGTTTCTTACCTTGTTGTACTTTCCAACTAATAAATTACAAAATGAATTAATGATATTGTCCTTCAGAAAATTTGAGTAATACGGATCCTGACAATTTTGTTAAATATGAATTTTCAGTAGGGTAGTGCTTTTTTGTGCAGTGCTCCCATTTTGCACATTTCTTCTAGTGATGAGAAACCCATGGGCTATCTTTAAGCCATATTCTGCTCTTCTTGGGCTGCCATAGAAAGGTACCAGAAACTGGGGGCCTAAGCAAATGTTTTCTTGCAGTGCTGGAAGTGCAAAGTCAGGATGCCAGTGTGATTGGGTTCTGGGGAAGGTTCTGGCTTAGACACTGCCTGCTCTCAGGTGTCACGTGGCCTTTCTTCAGTGCTTCACGTGGAGAGAGAGTAAGCTCTTCTCAGGTCATAATCCCATCATGAGGGCCTCACCTTCATGACCTCTGACCCCAGGTACCTCCCAAAGGACCTAGCTCTCGATACCATCACAGTGGAGGTGAGGGCTCCTGCATATTAAATTGGGAAGGGCGGGGAGAACACAAATGTTTCACCCATAGCGGACTGTTCACAATTTTTAGAGCTCCAGACTCCTTTCAGGTATATTATTTTTGGAATAACAAAGCTTTGAACTGGTGAGTAATCAACCTCAGGCAAATTTAAAGTCTGGGCCCTATTTCAATAATACACTTATCAATCAGTGTTACCAAGAAATTGGAATTTTCTCTGGAACTTGTGCTGTGACCTGATGTATTGCTGCTCTTTGATTCCATATATCACATAGAACTAGAAGTGTTTGGAAGACTGAATTGCCAGGGTTGTTGGTTGGTCTCAGATTGCCCTCCTAACTCTTTCCTTTGATGTCTGTGTTCCCTTTCTCAAAGCAGGAGCAACCATCAGGGTAACAGGTATTGGATTATTTCTCAATCTTATATGTGCTTTTCATCTGTCATAGCACATTAGATGTATGAATCTTTTGTTTCATACATCTAAATTTTCACCCATTATTAAAATCACCTGTCCACATTAATAAATCCTTCATATCATAAAACCTGTCTTTTTTTTTCTTAGTATTTTCAATTTTTAGGAACCATTTTAGCTGTTCTTGTTAATGCTTTTACCATTTTTTGCTTTGTTTTTTATGAAAATTAACAAACTAAAAAAAAGTGTACCATCAAGAAGGTAAGCTTTAGGAATATGAAACTCTGTCAAAACCAAATTGGTTCTTGGTTTTGACAATAGCATGGTTACATCAAAATTCATGTTTGTTTTTTTTCCTTAGCTTTCTTTTGGGAAACATTTTTCAAATAATATTAGCAGCAAGCTTCTTACTGATAAGGAAGAATTGATAATTTAGAAAGGTGAAAGTCAGTAACACGCTTACTTAAAGATCCTTCCAACACCCTTCTCTGTCAAAATGCCACCATTTTTAATGCCAAGTTACCACAAATCCTGCTTCGATTATAAATTATTTCTAATGTAATGAATGGATGGTGTGGCTTCCATTATTTCAAGTCTGATTGGACACAATGATCCTGCTTCTATCAAATGACCATTAACTTATTTTGAAAAAAATAACTTTTTAATACATGAATATAAAGATATTTAAGTGTAGATAACTACCTTATTTGGCAAGGGCCTACTATTCCAAGCTGTGCTTTCCTGTCCTTCATGGTGTGTATTGTCCTCCCCATCATGAGAGAATTTTGTTATATTAATTGTAAGCCAGAGATGATAATAATGTAGAGTTAATTTTATGATGCTTGTAATAAATTTGTCTCAAGTAGACTTCCATATGTGTCTGCTTACGTTTCATACACTCAGAAGGCAGTTTAGAGTCTAACATATTTATTCTTTAATTTTGTACAAATTTATCATCATATTAAGATTAGTGAAGAAAAATATACTTGTTTGTTCAATTATAAAATTTGTTCAATTGAATAAAAATCAGATACTTGAAAATTATTCTCATAAGTTATTCACACTATTTCTTTTTGCAAATGGATAGCTTTCGTATTCTTAAGCACCAAATTATTGTTTTATAGAATGCATTTACATTTTATCGGGCTGCAGCTGTTTTTCAACATATTTTATGAACATTTCATTATTTTAACAACTATCAAAATTCGTTTTGCTCCACTTTGTTACATTGCAAATCTTAAACTAATATTTTCCTTCCTCTGCTGTTGGCAACCCAAGGGTTGCATCAATATCTTAAATTTAAATCTTTAAATTTGGCATCAATATCCAAGTCATCTGTGTAGTTTTAGTGATTATATAGAGTTTTAAATTTTAAAATGTAGTGCCTGATGAGCTCATTTGCTCTCATAAGGCCAGAGATGCATTGTCTTCAGCTTACGAATAGAAATATGCTAACAAATTCTCATTCATAAAGTTGAACTTCTGTAGTAACATTACCTTTAAATGAAAGTAAAATGAAAAGAACAATGATAAACCCACATCATAGATGGGTGTTGGAAGTTTATGTAGATTGTGCGTAAGTTCTGAAAATATAGTTCTTAAGTTCATGCTAACATTTGATAGAATTGGGCATGAACAAATTCTGTAGTTAATTCTGTACAATTCTCTGTTTTACCATACCAATACTTGCATGAATAAAGTAAGCTCTGTTTAATTTGGGGGAGGATCTTTTAATTGTAGTGTGTCATAAATTTAGTGTAGAGGATGTGTAAAGACTAAGATTTTAACTGTTTTACCTTAAACTACCAGAGTAACAAACTATAAAAACCTGCTTTTTTAATAAATTTGTTGCTTGTTCCCCCTCAACCCCTCCCAAAATTTGAGGAAGCTAGGAAGGATAGAAAAAGTAAATTTATCACTTTTTTTTTTAACATTTAGCACTCTCTCTTTTTTCCAGATAAAAACAAATGGAATCTCCGCTGTCAGATTGGAATCACCACTAAAGAGTGACCCATTTGAAGACCTGTCATTTAATCTGCTTGCTGTATCAAAGGCTCAGTTATCTGTTCCAGTGCCCCCTGTGCTGACCCCAAGCCCACAGGGACCGGTCCATTTGCCTTTCGCAACACAAAGCAACATTAATACTTTGAGTTCTGTGAGTTGCATGTCAGCACTGCCTCCCATTCCAGCCCGGAGTAAATCCCAGGAAAGTATTCGAGGTTCTCCAAACCCATTTCTTACTGGTGCCACCAGCACCAATCCCTTTACGGACAGGACCGCCACTCCTGGAAACCCATTTCGAGCCCAGCCTCAAGAATCAGCTGCAGCTTCATGTTTCTCGAAGGAAGATGCTAACAGTCCTTTCTCTTCTCTGAAGCCTTTTGGTCATAACGAAAGCAAGTCTTCATCTTCCCTTGCTGGCTGTAAGGACAGTGTGGAACTACAGAACCAGTCTACAGTAAAAACTAGCAACCCAAAAGGATGGGTGACCTTCGAGGAAGAAGAGGACTTTGGTATGAAAGGGAAGTCGAAGTCAGCTTGTCCAGACTTACTGGGTAATCAGTCAGGTTCGTTTGCTGGCTCTAGCGTGACCTTTGATGATGACTGGAATAAAGGTACAGATGTTTCTTTCTGTGTGTTACCGTCAAGAAGGGCACCGCCACCACCTGTTCCTTTGCTCCCCCCTGGTACCTCCCTGCCAGTCGATCCATTCACAACCGCAGCATCGAAGGTATCATCCACACTAGACTTTACAGAAAGATAACGTTCTGCAATAGAAACAGGCATTTTTCTGTTTGGGCAGGGTGGAGCCATGACAGCTGGGCATTAGTTATTCCTTTTGTGCAATAAGTAATTGTTGAGTGCACTGATGTCCTCACGAAATACCACTATTTAATGTGTACAGAGTTGGAATATGTGTATATTGGAAATAAGGAAAAATCTTCCTCATGATTAACTGGAGTTCTTGGTGTGTCTCTGTTTGGATAAATACAGGAGAGTAGTAGCCATAAAAAGTGCTCAAAACTGCTTTAGAAAATAGTCCTCGTTCAGAAATTCTTGGTCTTCTCTGAAGAATCTCAAAAAGCCCAAACAACTTCTCGTTGTCACTACTGCCAGCCCTTTTATACTTGTTAACAATTGGTACTTATAAGTATTTACCAAAGAACTATCAAAGTTATACCGAAACAGATTTTTGAAAGGCACTGCTTTAAAAAACAAAAGTGTGTACACACACACAAACATATGTACTTGCACATTGGTGAAACTCATAATTTTAAGTCTAGATGAAACTCAGATCAAATTTTTTCCTACAAGTTCTAACAAAGTTCTTTTTCCAGTATTTCGAAAGGATGGCTGTAAATGTAGTGTGAACATTTCATTAATTTTTCTGCTCAAAACTTGAATAATTGTTGACACAACCACACCCATCCCTTCAAACGCACACGTTACGCACATCCTGTCTCTGCCCCCGCAGCTCCGTGTGCTCTTCTTAGCAAGGGGTTTGTGCAGCTGGAAGCAGCGTATCTGTGATCACTGTCAGGTAGGCGGACGCTGCAGGCCTTTCATAACAGCACTCGTATACCAGGAAGGCGCCAGCCAGAGTTCAGTGAGAAATACTAGAGCTAAACGTGACCTCTTCTCTCCGTACCTTAGATACGTGTTGCCCTTTTTCCCTTCCACTTTGCTTCTTGCTTGCTTTCGCTCTGAAATGTCACTGGCTGGGAAAGCAGCACCCTAGGAGTGCTTTGAATGGGGGGGTCTACTGTATGTGTGCCCTCCCCTCCCCTGGCTACATAGCGCAGCCACCACGCTACTTTCATCTTTAGAGGCTACACCTCAGATTAGCTGTGGATTTTATCTCCTGCACTGCCAATATGCAACTGTTCCTGCTTTCATTAATTTTATGAAGTACACAGAATTTCTACAGAACGTAGTATTTTGATATCATTAAGTAATCACAATCAGAAAACTCCCTGAGCAATAGTTGTGTTGTTGCCAGTTTAAGTTAAAACCATCCTTCCCCATTAAGACGTATAATAACATTCCTTTTATATAAAGAGTTGTAAAAGTCCACCTAAATTCCTGTGTCCACACTTACCCTTTAGAGATGTGCATTGGGGGAGGAAGTATCAGAAAATGGAATTCACAGCTAAGGATATATAAATGTACAAGCACAGCAAACTGCATTGCACTTACCACATGAAGCAAATCTAGTAGGAAAAAAGCACTTTTCTAAATGCTCAAATGTTATCAAAATATTATATTTATAGAAGTAATCCTCTCTCTATTAACAACCAGTATTTGCTGTTAGAAATAACCCTTGTGAGTTTTATATTGTGCTTTTTGGGGGGTTCTAATCATTTCAGCAGTAGTATATTTTAAACTGCAGTATTACGATAAGCTTCAAAATGTGAATTAACTTGTTGAGACTGTGGCTTTAACAAATCTGTGTGACTAGTGTATATGGTACTTGCTCTCCATTAGCAAAGTTGTTCATTCTAAACTTCACTAGTGAGTGCAGATTGCAGATCTGTGAGCAGTGTTTCCTATTGAATATAAACTACTGTCTAAAATCAACATATCATGCAGCAGCTCGGCCTTTATCAGGAAAATTACATTTGGCAAGTTGCTGAACATGCACAAAGTTCTGAGAGCTAAAGAGAGGCTGCAAAGAACTAGCCATTATTCTGTGTATTAGTAAAACCTTTACCAGATCTGTTCAAAGCAGAGCAGAAATTAGACACTAAGGATCTTGTGAAATCTGTGTTCTCTCTAGTAGGTTGCTGTTTATATGTAAGAATTTTATTGCTTATGTGGCATACAATATTTATAACTATATACTTTATAGAGGTACAGTATTAAAGTCAGTGGTATACAAACATTCTGTACATATCCTGTGAAGTGTGCTGAAATAAATATACCTGTCTTTACCATATTGACTACTTTGCTCAAAAGGGAATTTTTCTTAACCATTTTCCTTAAACTTTCTGTATACAAGTTAGTGACATTAGGAGAACATGGGTTAACTCACTGTCAAATCAGGCATTTTAATTCAAGACTTATTTTTTTCTATTTAACTTCTCCACGTAATACTCTAAAAGTAACAAGAAAGATATTCTGAGATTATTCATCCTCAAGAAGCCTGTCAGAGAGGCCCTCATTGAAAATCTTGTTGGCTGGAAACCCGTGAATGATGACTTTATACCGACAGCAGGAGGAACAGCAAGGGGAGGCAGGCATGGGAAGAGCCAGGCAAAGGAATAGACAGGCTGAAGAGACCCCGAGTAAGGTACAGAATCCAGAAAGTCCCAGCTGACGGCGCAGTTGGCTATGAGCCACCCACTGCATTGGAGGTTGCTCCTCCTCAGAGGAAGCGCATCTCTCCCTCCTCTTCCCAGGCGGCCCTGGATTGGTTTGGGCATTTCCAGGCCTGCAGTCACAATTTTTCTCCCTGCCCCAAAGCCCCAGCAAGGCAGCTTCGATTCAGAGCCAGAGTTTCAGGAGCACATCGGTACCCACGTCTCATGGTCATGCCAGTCCGTAGTCAGCATCGGTTCTTCCAGGAGATGACCGGGGAGCGGCCTCGACAGCCCGGGCTCACTGCACAGCTCACCCACCCCTTAAGGCATTCCTAAAAAGCCAAGCATCCTGTTTTGCTTTCTTTACCCCCACCCCCCTCTATTTGAATTTGTTCATTTATTTTTATTTTCTCTGTCACTTTCACTGGAATAAAAGCACCGTGAGAAAGTGACTGAACGCTGCTGAGTCCCAGGGGCGCCGGGAAGAGCGCGCCAGACCCGCTGCCCTCGGTAAGAATTTCTTGAGCGGTGGGGCAGCGTCCTTCTGGCAACAGCTGCTTGAACCACCCTAGATGTGCCGACCAAGTCACTGGCCCGCCCGGGGTGCTGAAAACCGGGAGGGTCTCCGGGCCCAGAACTCGCCGCCCGAAGCCCCCAGGCCGCGAGCTGGGGGCGTTGCCGGAGTGGACAGTGCCGGGGGCGGAACCGCCACGTGAAGTGGCCGCGGGCGGCTCTGAGCCGCTGGGCGCCTGTGGGGACACCCCCGACCCGACCCGCTCCCTGAGGGCGCCTAAGGGGACCCCCTGTTACGGAGCAGCCCCGATATAAAAACGGGTGGCCTGGCTGTGGGTCCTCACCCTCGCGCTTAAAGGGGACTTATTAATACTCCACTGCAGGCTCACACAAAAGGTTAATAAAAGGTTTATTTACAAGAGAAAGGGAAATGAAATGTACAACTCAGGGAGAAAATAGGGAAATAAAGTCTTTACTGCGTCCTCCCCAATCCGCTGACCTGGAAACCCAAAGGCACTCTCAGAGCTGGCCGCGCTGCGAGCTGGCGGGGAGCCAAAAAGGGACCCCCCCAAAGCCCACGTGTCTGGCTTTATACCAACCTGGCTGCTGAACCCCACCCTCAGGTCCCAGCCACCTTCCCTTGGGTGGTGACGGGATTTGTCTCTCCCAGTGTCCCGATGGCTTTGGCCTGGGGTGGGGGCGGAGTCCACGAAGCCTGCATGGAATTAGCTCAGGACATCCTTTCCCCCTAACACCCCGACCCCAGCCGCTCCCTGAGGGCGCCTGTGGGGCCCCCGGCCCGACCCGCCCCCTGAGGGCGCCTGTGGGGCCCCCGGCCCGACCCGCCCCCTGAGGGCGCCTGTGGGGGCTCTCACAGCTCGCACGACCCTTGTGGAATCTCGGCCCCGCGCTGTGCGTGGGCTTGTGTTTGGCGTTGCCTGGGCAACAGTCACTTCCGGGCGGGGTTCGGCCTATTCGGCTCGGCGGGGCCCGCTCGGGCCGGGGACTTGGTTGCCTGGCAACAGCCGCGGCCTGGCGCGCGCGGCGCGGCTTCCGGGCGTCTCTGGAGCGGTGGGGCAGCGTCCTTCTGGCAACAGCTGCTTGAACGCGGCCTCGCCGCGTCCCCGTCGCTCCGGCAACAGTCACTTCCGGGGCGGGCGCCCGGGCGCGGGTTCCGGCCTCCGCCGCGGTTAGTCGGCGTCGCCGGGCGGGCCGCGACCCGGGACCCCCTCGCCGCGGGCGGGCGGCGGGCGCCATGGTGGTGCTGCACGTGAAGAGGGGCGACGAGAGCCAGTTCCTGCTGCAGGCGCCGGGGACACCGAGCTGGAGGCGCTCACGGCGCAGGTGGCCCGAGTGTACAACGCGCGGCTCAAGGTGCAGCGCGTCTGCTCAGGTGCGGCGGCCGCGGGCGGGGGGCGGGGGGCGGCCAGGCTGGGCTTGGGGAGCCCAGACCCAGCTGAGTTTGGGGGGCAGCCTGACCAGACTCAGCTGGGCGCAGCCGGGACAGCGGGGCCTGGGGAGCCGTGCGCGGCCGGGCCCGGACCCCCGGCTTCAGTGGGGGAAGGAGAAACCGGGCCTTCCGGGACTGAGGACAAGGACGGCACCCCGAGGCTTTCAGGGGCAGGCTGGGGGCGAGAACCAGGTTTGTGAAGATTTGCATCAGCCGGGACTGAGCTGGGACGCCGGGCTGGTCACCAGAGATGCCCCCGGGCCGGGGAGAAGGGGGCGGCCGCTGCGAGGCCCCCCGAGCCGGGACGGGGCGCTGCGAGCAAACCAGCGCGGGGGACAGAAGGGGTGTTACAGGGCAGGGAGAGGGGCACCCCAGACCCCCAGACCTGCCTATTCTAAATGGGTTCTGCCATCCGCCACATCAACACAAAAATATATGAGACTTTAATGGGAAGGAACAATACAGGAAAGGCAAAGAATCCAGTTTCTAAATCAAGCACCCAAAGCTACCCGTCCCCTTGGGGGTAAAAGTCCACCCAAGCAAGATTGGCCCAGAGCAAGGCCCCAAAGCCTGTCTCAAGTCTAAAGCACCTTCCAGTGGGGACCCACAGAAAAGGAAACAACCAGACAAGCCCGGAAGGAAAAGAGCAAAATCAACATCAAGATAAAAGCTGCCATTGTCACCTCCCCACGGGTCTCACCCACATCTGTGTCACCCAGTCCACGACCAAAGACAAGCGCAGTTTCTTTACGTGTCTCTAGGCTCCATGTGCCTCCTCCAGGTCTCCTTCTGGCTCCATCCTGCTTCCTTCCTTCCTCAGTCTCCTCTGCAGCCTCTTCTCTCCCTGCTCAGCTCCACCCTCCCTTGGGTGGGGCAGGGAACCTGGAACCTCCCCCTTTCCTGGGGACCACCCTGTTACAGGGGGAAAAGTGGTCACAGGCGGTTTGAAATGTGAATTTCACATTTGGAGTCCTCTGAGCTGGAGCACATTGGGGGATGACTCTCCCTGCTTTGGCGCTTCATGGTGAGAAGACAGGGCGAGAGCCTGGTGTTCGCTAGTGGTGTCCTTTCTCCTGTCACTACTTGGGTTGCCCTGACTCCCGAGGGCAGGGGAGTCCAGTGGCACCTTCTTCTGGAGGGCAGTGTTCCCCACTGGAGAGCCAAGCATGGTGTGGCCCCGGAGCTTGGCTGAGGAACTGCGTTTTTTATTTTAATGCATTTTAAATTGTAAATGACCTGCTATATGAGACCTGCTATATGAGGCAGAAGACACATGGCACTCCAGGTGTGGTCTTGGTGTTATTTGTGTTTCTATACCTAACACCCAGGGTTTTTGTACCTTGGAGAACTATCAACTTTTAGGAAGCAGACATGGAGTCTCGTAGTTATTCAGTTCACCCGCTGACCAGGATACATAATTTATTTATAAATTATGTGAAGTTTTGGGGGCCTCCCTGGTGCCACAGGGGTTAAAGTCTCAGCACTATCAGGCTATCACCAGCCACCGAGGCATGAGTTCAATCCCCGGCTAGGGAGCTGACCCACATGGTGCAGCAGACCTCTCTGTCTCTCCCACTGCTCCCCTCAGCAGTGTATTTCAGGAGATCCACCTGTTGTGTTCCCCACTCTGTCTCTGGTGAATCCTCTCTTACACACACACACACACACACACACACACACACACCCTCTGCACCTCTGGCCTACCCCCAGCTTTTGTATGCAGAAATAAAAATAAATCTTTTTAAAAAATTATGTGACTTTTATATAAAGTAATAGCTGTGTGGTCCGAGCCAGCCAGAGGTGATAGAGCTATAGCATCAGGGAGAACGGGGTGCTGATAACTGTCCTGCTTCCTTCCCAAGGTTAAGTTAAATGAGAGAAAACCTGTGTGATTGTTCTTGGAAATTGAAGTCTTATATGGATATTCACACTTTTGGTGAATTCTGAGCTGTGTCTCCAAGTACCATGAATTACAACACAGCACAGAGTCAGAACAGGATCTCCAGTTGGGCTGCCTGTGACCGCGGGCCAGCTTCTGAGCCCTCTGAGCTTCTGTTGACTGAGGACAAACCTTTGGCCACTGATCAGAGCTCAAGGACAGGTCAGCCACATAGCTAATGGCATCTGAGTGTTAAATGAAATAGTAGCTGAGGGACATGACCTCTGACCTCCAGGGAGCTCACATTTCAGTAGGGTACAAGGTGATGGGGTGCCAATTGTGGTCAGGATGTTGAACCTTCTCTTATTTTTCAGAGATGGAAGAACTGGCAGAACACGGTGTATTTCTCCCTCCTAATATGCAAGGACTGACAGATGAGCAGGTTGAAGAACTGAAACTGAGAGATGAATGGGGTGAAAAGTGTGTCCCCAGCGGAGGTCCCGTATTTAAAAAGGACGACATTGGACGAAGGAACGGGCAAGGTGATCTGGCATTTCTCTTCCATGTCCTGGCCTGAATAGGCCAATAAGTAGGAAAACAGTTCTTAAGTTAAAAACCTGATCTCAGCATTCCTGCACAGTCAGAGGACTCGACCATCCAACTCCTTATGGTAACACTGTAGTCCACGGTGACTGCTGGAAAAAGGAAGCATCCGCCTCCTTACTCTTAGAAGTTGCAGTTTGTCTTTAAATACATGCCATGTGAATCACCCTTATTGCAGGTCAAAAATGGTTGAAAATTGGCAATTAATATGGTTCAACTTGATAGTTTGGGAGGCCAGTCGTTGAAAGTGTGTTAAGGATGTTTCTGTGGTTGGCAGTTGCTGGGGTTTAGTTAGTGATTCTGCGTGCAGGAAGCGAGTGTTGCACACACAGGGTCTCCTTGAATTGAGGACGAGTCTCTCTGTAGTGCTCAGGCTGGTAGCCCCGGGCAGAGCACTGAGAAATATGTAGCTGGCCACAAGGCACTGGAAACAAAAAGGCTGAGAGTCCACTTTGATGGCCATTAACCCACATAGGGATCCCCCCTCAGAGGCCTGTGACATCATTTCACAGACACTTAAATATCTGCCGTGCCCCTGAGGCCTGTTAGTAGCAGAAGAAGTACAAAAATGCCTTTGCAGTCTGAAAGAAAGGTTTTTTAATATTGAAGATAATAGGACTCTCTGGTATTATTTCTTTCCAATGTTAAGCCCGGTTAAATCTTTTCATACCTAGGGCCTCCCCTGGTGGCGCAGCGGTTGAGCGCCGGGCTGCGAGGCTGCCCGCAGCCTCTGCCGCACCGGTTCGTTCCCCGGCCGCCGGCGAGGGTCCCACCAAAAAAAAAAAATCTTTTCATACCTAAACTCACTCTCAACCTAGAGAGCACCTTGGCCTTTGAGAAGGAATCACATCAGTGACAGAAAGTACAGTATCTCCCACGAACCGGTGACCTGTTTATTAGTCCTCTTTAAACCCTTACTTTCTTAACCATTTCTAGTGTTTCCAATGTCTGATTAATATTCTTGACTTAGTAGGAATGCAAGGTTTGAACTTGCCTTATCTCCCCTAGATTTGGGTCTTTCTGGGTTTTTTTTTTTTTTGTTATTGCTTCTAAACTTTAAGGTGATGACTTATTTTTCTTGTCTGGGGTGGGCAAACTGGGGGCCGCTGCCTGGTTCGGTCTGCCCAGCGCCCTTCATTTCTGTACTCTGACCTTTGGTGCCGCGCCCGCTCCAGGATTCCCCCATCTGACAGGGCTTCCCCGACTGCTTCACCCTGTGTCCCTCCCCCAAGTTCCGCTCGTGAACCTGCTCTCATTTCACTTGCTCCCCACTCAGACAAAGGGATCAGGTGCTGAAGAGGAGTTTTAAAGCTGTCTGTCTCCCACTCATTGCTTTTTACAGCTCCAAATGAAAAAATGAAGCAAGTCTTGAAGAAAACTATCGAAGAGGCCAAAGCAATAATCTCTAAGGTTCGCTCTTTAAATGATGCTATAAAACTTACTGTGTAGGACACCGACTCCGTATCTGGCTTCTGGTGTCTCCTAGCCTCCCCCCGCTTCTTGTTAGTTTTTTTAGCCTTCCTGGGGCCAGGAAGCAAGCGTGGTGGGCGGGCCCTGGCTTGTCCTCAAAATTGTGACCAAGGTCCCGAGTCCTCATTGAGATCAGATAAGTAACCGGTGTGTGTTAATGGGGTTCCCACGTCAACTAAGAATCTGTGCAGTGATTTTATTCCTTTGCCCTTGAGAGGAGCTTAGGAAAGCGAGACCAGGAGGCTGCAGACACGCCATTGACATGAGATGTTTGACATGAGCAGATTTTTGTGATCATCATAAGTATTTATACAAAAACTATTTCAGAGGCAAAACATGCATCGGTCTTGACAGGCAGGCGACGTATAGGGAGAAAAGGACTGAGGAGTACAGGAGTTGGTTTCTGTATCAGTTGCATTTATTTACGTGTCGGTGACATTAGCTGCGTCCGCCCTCAACTGCAGATCCAAGCGGACGCCTGCCCTTTCTTCCGCTCCTCCCGATTCACTGGGCAAAACTTGTTTCTAAACCAGAATTTCCCACATCCCACAGGCTCTTAACTGACCCTTCAGGTGTTTCAGAGCAAGCTCGCCCACCGGGCCTCCTTATGCTACCAAGGCTCCGGAGGCCCTTGGAGGGGCCCTGGGACCGGCCCGTGCTCGCCAAGAGCCTTTGACCACAGGGGGCTTTGAAAAGCATTTTGATAGTAGTTTTGAGCACGTGATCAGATCAGCACGTCTCACAAGATGGGAGGAAAATGGTGTCCTGAACTGCCACTGTCACTCTCTCCCATGGGAAACTCTTTCCTCGCTGGTGTCGGTCTTCCCTCTGCTGGGTCCACTTTTAGGAAGTATTTCAGAGTTTACAGAGAGGCCGCCAGTGTTCTGCAGCGCTCCGGAGTGGCCACTGACTTCGGGGCCATCGCCTTGACCCCCTTGGGAAGCATGCCAGGGCGACAGCTGTCCAGCAATGCAGCCCCAAGCCCCCCTCACCTACCAGCCCGGCCTGGGGGGTGGCTACCTGGGGTCAGAGCAAGCAGAGCGGCGAGTCCCATGCCCTTGGCCTGGAGCCCGTCCTGTGTGGCTCACACTGGTCCTGGAGAGAGTGCACACTCCCTTCCTCGCTCCCCTTGGGAGCCAGCTACCAGGTCTCTACATAACTTCCCTGGTCAGCAACCTCTGCCCAGTGGGCCTCCCAGCCTCCTGGCTCCTTCCCCGGAAGCCCCTCACTGCCCAGGGCCTCACAGTAAGGCCCAGTGCTCTGGCTGGTGGACGGGGCTCCAGCCTCCAGGTCCAGCAGAGTGGGCTGCACTGCTACCTGCTTGTCTTCGCTGATGCTTGTCCTGAAGCCCGTGCCCCAGCCCCACTCTGTGTCTTATGGCCCCTGAGCTGCCTCCCCTTCCACGTGCTTCCTGTTTCCTGAGCCCCAACAGTCTCTGTGCACCCCGGTGGGCTGCTGTCTGGGCTGCTCCTAGTCTACGACCCAGGCTCGTGGGCCAGGCTCCGCCCCTGGCAGGGTGGCCAGACTGTATGATGCCTTCTGTGGCTCGGGCAGACATGGGCTGGCTCGGTGGCATGTAACAACGCCTGACTCTTCCAGAAACAAGTGGAAGCCGGTGTCTGCGTCACCCTGGAGATGGCGAGAGATGCCCTGGACCAGCTGCGAGGCGCCGTGATGATCGTTTACCCCATGGGGCTGCCGCCCTACGATCCCATCCGGATGGAGTTTGAAAATAAAGAAGACTTGTCGGGAACTCAGGTCAGTGTCCCTGGGTCTCCTGTGAGGGGAGTTCACCCCCCCACTGGCAGAGGCGGCTCAGCCGTGACAGCAGGTTCCGTGTCGTGTCCTGGTAACGCGGATTATAAACCCCTGAAGTTTGTCCAAGGAACTGCTTTGTTTCTACGTCGTCCACAGCTGCCAAAGACCTGTGGGTGTTAGGTGAGGACTCCTTGTCCGTACAACCCCGCGGGAGTCCATGTTCTTCCCTCGCCACCTCCTGGAAATCCCTCTAACAGGCTTATATTAGGGGTGAGGCTGCACGTGAGGTGCTAGGACACCCCCCTTTCCAGAGCAAGAAGGGGACTGAGTCAGGGCAGGAGCTGAACTGAGCAGGGGCTCCCTGGGGCACTTGGGGCACAGGGAGGGCAGGCTGCAAACCTCCCCCTTGGGGGCACCCCACCTGGCACCGTGGCCCTGGGGCCCTGGTCGCCTCAGAGGGCTTCTCACTGCCCCAGGCCGGACTCAGCGTCATCCAGGAGTCGGAGGCACAGCTGTGGTGGGCGGCCAAGGAGCTGAGGAGAACAAAGAAGCTTTCTGACTATGTGGGCAAAAATGAAAAGACCAAAATCATCGTGAAGATCCAGCAGGTGAGGACTTTGCTTTACGAGACAAGGGTTTTGATTATTTTCTTTCAAACAGATAAAAATTTACCATAGTCTGAAAAACTTAAGTCCTTCTGCAAACACTTTACTCCTGTTGGCCCAGGCGTAAACTAAAGCTCCCTGCTTTATACACCAGCAGAAACTGGAAGACAGTGTGAGTTGACAGTGTCTGGAGTTTGTTCTAATTTAGAGGGAGCAGAAAGGTCATATTAGTTTCAACTTTAAAAATGAACCTAATTTAATAGTAAATAAAAATGCCTCTTGAAATGAGAACCACAACCCAGGCGGTGATGTGACGCTTTCCAAAGCACTGATCCTGGAGCTGGGAAGGAAGGGCGCTGTGCAGGCATCCCAGGCCGCAGGTGAAAAGAATTTTGGAGCCTTGGTATATTTGACAGGCCCTTAATGCTGAATCCGGGGACCAGACTCAGCGGCAGACCAGCAGGCAGGGAGGCAGCGACTGAGAAGCTCCTCTTACTTTCCGCCCCACCCTGTCTGTATTTACGTGTATGCACGCCCCCCGCTCGCTGGCTTCTCAGCCCAGGGATCCATAATCCAAGGTGCTGCCCCATGCTCCGCTTTTTGCACCAGCCTGATACCATGTGCGGTGGCGCGGCCTGGGAGGCCAGCAAGGCCGCAGGCGGTGGCTGTGGAGGCTGATGGCAGGAAGGCGGGAAGGAGCCTGAGTTGCCCCATCTTCCCTGCAAAGCGTTCCCGGTGAGAACAGACTCAGGCGTGGGCCTGCCGGGCTGCTTGTGTCCCGCTTCTGAGCCATTTCTGCCATGTGGGGGAAACCAGGTCCTCTCCCTCGCTCTGTCCCTTCCGTGGGCCTGCAGTGGCTGCTGGGAGTGGCCTGGGCAGGATGTTGTTGCAACCTGACACCCCACTTCCCTTGGGGGTTCACTTTGGACGATAAGAAACGCGCAGCCACTTGGCAGCGCAGCTGGCAGCCCACTGGGTCACCACCTGGGTCGCCCTCTCGGGGCGCCAGGGTCCCCAGCCTGCTCTTCTTCCTTGCAGAGAGGTCAGGGAGCTCCGGCCCGAGAGCCCATCATCAGCAGCGAAGAGCAGAAGCAGCTGATGCTGCACTACCACAGGCGCCAGGAGGAGCTCAAGGTAACGCTCAGCAGGTTCCCCAGAGTTGGGGGCGCTTAGGGTAGGGAATACAGAATGGCTTCAGCTTCCAGGGCTCCCTCTGTGTCCTGCTCTGGGAAGGCAGGGGCGGGGGGTTGGCATGGGCTCCTTCTGCAGGCTGTATGTTGCAGAAACACTCTCCTGAAATGCCTTCCTGAGTAAGAAGCTTTTATTTCCAGAGACTGGAAGAAAATGCTGATGACGACTCCTGTTTAAATTCTCCGTGGGCAGATAACACTGCTTTGAAAAGACATTTTCATGGGGTAAAAGACATAAAGTGGAGGCCAAGATGAAGTTCACCTGTGGAAGAGTTCAAAAATATTAGTTCACCTTTCTTTAGGCAAAATAGTAGTAATAATATTTACTATAATAATAATAGAGACCCATAACCCTCTGTGAAAGATGTTGAAATTTCTAGCTTTCCTCATTTTTCTTTTAGTTTGAATTTTTGAAATAAAAGTTATTAAAGGTTTTGGAATTTCATAATTATTCCTCAAAGGAGTCGGCCTGAGTTATTTTTATTTCAGGACAACTATTGGAAGATTTTCTTTGACAAAATTCTACAGCTATAATTCCAATCATAATTTTTGTAAGATTACAATTATTATATATTTTTTTTTTCCTTCCTGATTACGCTGTTGTCCCATGAGAGCTGCTGTGCTGGAGGAACTGGAAAGTTCTTTTCCTCAGCTGAGTCTGGCCTTGGTGTGGCCACTAGAGGCCGCCACCCACTGCCAGCCCACATCCCTCATTTTCCTTCAGCCCCGCGATCCCGTAGACTCAACTTTCCTTGTGGAACAGGCTCCTGTGACCTGCCTCAAGTGTAACTTTCTCAGGGATAGCTGTCACCTGCACCTCCCAGCTCCCAAGGTGAAGTTGACCTCCATGTTGACACCCGACTGGCCTTTTGTCCCAGGAGTCCAGCTCCGCCTGTGCTGGTCATTGAGTGGCCCAACTGGTCTAACCTAGAAACTGAACAAACTCTTGTGTAGTGACTTGGCTTTTCCTGAAGAACAAACGAGGATCGTGGTGAGGAGCAGGCACCATGGCTGCAGTTTCTGACGCGGCCTCTGCAGACTCCAGGTGCACCCAGGGCCACTGGGTGGTATGGGACTTCGTGACCATCCAGCCACTTGGTAGAGCCAAGTCCACACTGGCTCCCCGTAATCCCAACCGACTTTCTAGGACACCTTGAATGCAAACACTCCAAGTTGTTCCCACAGCCCGGACACTTCACCTCAGGGACATCTCCCAGGTGGTCTGTGTGGCCAGGAGCGACCTAGAAGTCTTGTCCTGCTTGCCTCTGGGCTGTAGCTTGCCCTGAGCTGGAGGAAATGCAGTGACAGGACCTGCCCTGGCCTCCCAGTAGCCACTGCGCTGCGTCCCCCCTGGGGCCAAGTTCCCCCAGCTGTTAAGAGCTGAAGCTGTGGCAGCCTCCCGCCCTCCCAGGTTACTTAGGGCTGCTGCCCCGGGCCAGCTGCTAGGGTTTCTATTGTCCCCAAAACAGTATTTTCTTTTTTTTTTTTTTAAGATTTATTTATTTATGCATACAAGAGCTGGGGTTACAGGCCAGAGGTGCGGGGGGTGAGAGGATTCACCAGAGACAGAGTTGGGAACAGAACAGGCAGATTGAGCAGTGGACGAGTCAGGAGAGGTCTGCTGTGCCATGTGGGATGCTCCCTGGCCGGCCGGGGATCGAACTCATGCTGCAGTGGCTGCGTATTGCTTCATAGTGCTGTGTTTAACCCTTTGCGCCACCAGAGAGGCCCCAAAACAATGTTTTCTAAAGTGGGTTGTAGCTACACTGCAACTTGATAGTATATTTGGTCAATTGTCAAATTTTGTAAAATCAAATTTACTTCTATTTCATAGTAGTTTAAAATGTCTCCCTGAAAAGGGCAAAGTCTGCAGAAGGGTCCTCAGCGTCACTTGGGGCCCGTCCTGCCTGCCGATGCGAGGTGTGTGCGTCCGCCTGGCCTTGCGGATACCCACGGTCACCGTGGATCCTCTCAAGAACCGCTACTCCCCGGCTGCCAGCACTTATGGACTCCAGAGGAGAAAAATGTCACTCTACTGCTTAATATAACTAAAGTTAGGGTTAGGGTGGGGCCCTCACTTTGGGTTAGAGAAACCGCCAGCTTGCTAGCATCCCCTGAGTCCTGTGAAGTACTCACACACACAGACTCCTCCCGCCCTGCTGTCTGTTCAGGCGGGGCACGTCCCCGCGCCTGCTCTGCTCCTCGAGCAGTTGGGTCAGTTCCCTCCCACTGGGGAGGGGGTGACACCCTCATGGCTGCTCACATCCGTAATGAGGGTAGAGCCAAGTGCACTCGTCAGCTGAGGTCCCCGTGCCAGACGGCAGGCAGAGGCAGCTAAGTGCGGCCGTGGAGTTACTGTCGTTTTCAAAATCTAGTTTGTCCTCGGCTCATCATCAAAGGAGACCGAGAGCCTACGTGTCGATCTGGGGCTGCAGTTTGGTCCTTTCACGTCACCTGCCCTCTCAGAGGGTGATTTCATGGACACCAGGATGCCAGGAGTAAAATTGGACGCCACCTAACACCCTGCAACTGAAACACCACTGTCCTTGGCAGCTCCTCAGTGAAGGATGTGCCCTCGAGCAGGACCGGAGCTGCCCCAGGCTCAGAGCACAGCAGCCTAGAGGGTGCTGAGTGCTGCTGGGTCTCAGAAGCCTCTGGAATCTCCCCTTGCAGGCAACCGCCCCCACCACCGTCCCGATGGGCACCAGGTGCCAGGACTGATCCCACAGGCCGCCCCTCCGCGGCTGGAAGTCCCACCAGGACAGCAGCTGGCGTTGCTACTGTGACTATTTCCCAGACAGTCTGCCAAGGGCTTGGCATGCATTTTCCTATTGACACCTCCCCACACGCACCCAACTGCTCTTTTAGGAAGAAATTAGCATTGTCACCTCACAGGTAAGGAAACCAAAACCCAGAAAGGTCTAATGTGCCCAAGGGGAGCATCTAAGGCCCACCTGTTGCCCCAGGGCTGTTTCCTTTTACGACTAAGGAAGATGCTAAGCCACAGGCTAGTAAACTGCAGTGAACCTGGGACCGAGAACCAACCGCCCAGGACCCCGACCACGAGGGCCCTCTGGAGGGCCAGCAGGTGGCACCACTCGACTGTCAGTGTCTAAGACCCACAGTGCCGGGACCAGGGTTCCACCTCAGCTTTGGTTCACAGCCAGCAAAAGGGGGGAAGCCACCTGAGACCATCTTGCGGGGCAGTCAGCAAACAGACGTTGGCTCAACTTCAAACCACTGCCCCGAGTGCCGAGTCTGGAGAGGTGTCCCCGCTTTCCTGCCATAGGATGCTTCGCCCGTGGGGTCCTGCTGGAGCCGACTGAGAGGTTAGCAGACGGACAGGTGCCCACAAGCCATGTCCTGGTCCGCTGCTGTGCATAGATTGACTTCTCCATCCAGATCCAGAAAGCTCAGCCTGACTATTCCGACACTAAAGCAGGTCCCGGGCCCAAGGGAGCCGGTGCTGTCGACCAGTGCCCACCTCGGCACCAAGACCACACCCCCAGGCCCACAACAGCACGTGGGGGCTGCCCTGCCCAGCCCCACACTTCTGAGTCACTGCCTATCCCCCTCACCCCGTCCCGAGGGCGCTTGGCACACTGGCCCCTGGGCTCATCGAGAGAGGTTGTCCTGCTTTGGGGTCCAGGCGACCCGCAGCGCCAGATGCATGAACGTGAGACCTCGACCCTCTGTCCCGTCATCCTGTCGTCATCGTGGGGCAAGATGAAGCGGGGCATGAGTGGCAGGACGGCTGCAGCGGCTGTCCAGGGGCTCCCGGCTCCCCGCCCTGTCCCCAACCAAGTCTGCAGACACAACAGCAGCGCTGCTCTCGCCGTGCTTCTCCTGTTCGCGTCTTGCTGGAACGGTTCCCACTGGCTCCGAGCAACTGGGCCTTTTAGTGGTAAGTCAGCAAAACACAACTGCACTCTGCTCCGGCCACCGGGAAACCCGCTCACTTAAAGTAACAGAGCTGGGGATACACAGGTCACGGGCGTGGAGGCGCAGATCCAGGCCCCAGACAGCGGCTCCCAGGGCGACGCGTCCCCTTCTCGAGACAGAAGCGGCTCGCGCCAACGTGGAAGGGTCACCTTTTCTTGCGGATTTTTCCAGGCCTGAGAACTGTCATTTGGGGCGGTCACTTACATGTAACAGATGATTTGAAAAAACCAAGCATGGGCCCCCCTGAGTCTGGGTAACCCCTGCAGGAGCTGTGCCAGTCCAGCGGGGCGCACAGAGCCCCTGCGGCGGAGGCATTTCTGCCACAGGCTCCAGAGCCTCCCCTCCTTCCCCACGCCCTAGTCCCGAGGCAGCCCTGAAGGCCGCTGCTTCTGCACGGAGAAAGGGTGCCCAGGGAGCATCTGGGGGCCCCCACTGCCCCCGGGGACCATTCTTGGTTGCTCTTCCCTACCTCAGCCTCTGCCCGTACCCCATCTGCCCAGCCCTTCCTGGTCAGCGCTGAGGGAGGCTGGGGTGAGCGTAGCAGACTCAGCTCCCAGACCACGGGCCCTCTCTGCACCATATTTGGGGCACGAGGGAAAAAGAGGCGGCTAAGTTTAGAATCTCACAGAAGGTCTCGCAGCCTGTGACCCCAGATGAGTTCTGGGCTGATTGAGTAAAAGGAAGTTTACACAAAGCTGAGGGAAATTTAGCACTTCCTTGGATACAAACAGCACAGTTACATCTTAGCTCAAGATTTTTAATTGTGAGAAAGAATTTCCATAACTGGAGACCCCGCCAGCCAGGCGTGTTGTGGCCGAGAGATGCCAAGGAAGCCACTCAGGGCAGGCCCCTGGACTGCGGAAAAGAGGGGATGGAGCTGGGGTGACACTGCTGGTGCAAGAGCCCCTGGTGAGCTCACGCAGAGCTCCTTCCCGTGCTTTCTGGGGGGTTTCTCCCCGGCTCAGGGCTCCCCTCAGCACACGCTGACCTCATCACAATCCCATTCTCAAGGGGCACCACACCCGTGCTGGACACCCCAGCGGCTGACTTTTGAGGATAGGAAGGAAATAAACCTGTTTCTAGTACATCATTCTTCTCTGAGGATTTTCCGCTTCTTCAAACCTAATTCTCACCGATCTGCATGATTAGCTCCCTGGAACCGCCCTAAGACCCTAAGAATGCCGAGGGCGGGGGTACCACTCTCCTGGAGCCTCACCTTAGAGGTGGGGAAACTGAGTCTCAGGAGGGCCCATAAAGCTGCCAAGGCTCAAAAGTACAAAGCCAGGACGTGAGCCCAGGCTTATCTAACTCTGGACCAGCGTTCTTCACGGCTCGTGTCCATCCTCCCTGGCTGGGCCGGGCGGCGAGGCCGCGGCGCCAGGTGCTTGCTGGGAAACAGTCACTCACAGCTGTCCGGGCCGTTGGTTAGGAAGCCTGGTGACAGCCCCTAGTCCGTACCCACGTCGTCAGGGCTGCCACGCGCGGTGGTTCAGGTTGT